AAAGATGAGACGTATGAAGAGTTGCTGAAGATAAACCTTTACCACAAAAAAGATGGGAATTAAATAAAAATCTATGTCAATTCTAAATATGCACCTGGACCATATCATGTAAGAGAGAGCGCAAATAAGATATTTGTAATTATATTAATTATTTTAATAAACCCAGCAACATTGTGGAGAATATAAAAATCTCTACAATGAAAGGATTTTTTTTTTTTTTATTCCATCTCTTTTTGCTATAGAAAAACTTCACAGGGCGCCTGGGTGGCTCAGTCGTTAAGCGTCTGCCTTCGGCTCAGGTCATGATTCCGGGCTCCTGGGATCGAGCCCCGCATCGGGCTCCCTGCTCAGCGGGAAGCCTGCATCTCCCTTTCCCACTCCCCCGGCTTGTGTCCCTCTCTCCCTGTGTCTCTCTCTGTCAAATAAATAAATAAAATCTTTAAAAAAAAAAAAAAAAGAAAAACTTCACAAACTACCGGGGACTGTCCTTCCTCCTCAGGACATTACTCTGCATTATTCACGCCCAGAGATACGTGTCCCATTAATTCCACGATAGTTATTGTCTCCTGGGAGGTGTATCAGTGAGCTTTTGCTACATAACAAACCACCTCCAACTTAAGGGCTTTAAAGAACGAATGCGTGCTTTCCAGGAGTCTGTGGATGGCGTTTTACATCAGGCTCAGCCGGGCTGTCCCGTTCTGGGTGGGCTCTGTTGTTTGCCCCTGAGCCAGCTCGGAAGGAGACAATGGAGTTGGGATGGCTCTGGACGGCCGAGATGGCTGGACCCTCTCTCCCTGCGGCCTCTCACCTGCCCAGCAGAACACTAGCCAGGCTCGTGGATGCAGTGCCAGAGGGGTTCTCAGGACCAGAGCAGAAGTCCCAAAGCATCCGGAGCCCAGGCTGGGCTGGTGGGGGTGGGGAGAAATTGAAGGTGAGAATGGAGCTCCCACGTCTGAAGTCATTGCCTCCACCCACCCCAACACTCCTCTTGGTTGACCCTGCAGAGGGAGAGCAATGGAAAACTCCCAGATGTTTGCAGGAGACCCTGAAACCAGCGCACTGAGCACCAGGTTCTGTGTGCATCCGTGGGGGCAGACAGCTTCTCAGAGGGCTCATGGGGGGGCACCAGACAAGAAGGGCCACCACGGCTGTTCAGGTAGAGGGAGGCCTGCGAGCCCGCTCAGGTCCCAGGACCTGAAGATCACATGGGAATAAGCCAAGGGTGCCCACAGGCCCCAGGATTCCTAGCCACAAGCAACGGTTGCTATTTAAAGCAGAAGAAAATTTATTAAAAGGTAGAGGGAGATAACCATTTCTAGGGAAGCCAGAGACCCAGGCTCGGAAAGAACAAACCAGCAGTGATGCTCAAGGCCATCCCGAGGCTGCTTCGGAGAGAGGCCATCTTCACGGTCGCTCGCTGGCAGAGATCTTGTTCCTCAGTCCAACATGCTGGAGTCTCACACAGGATGCCGACGAGTGGACACCAAAAGCTTGCCACGCAGGCCATAAAGACTGGAATGCTTCCACCACCACCTTGCACCCACAACACACAAAACAAGTTCTTTCTCTCCTGCTTCTCCACCTCTCGCTCTGAATCAATCTTGCACGGGGGCATCTGAGGAGCCGAGCCTGAGTCATGTAGCTCCAGGCAGCCAGGAAGACCTGGGAATAAGGTCTGCTCCCATCCCCGGGAAACAGGATTTATGAAATGGGAAACTCTCTAGTTGGAAGAAGGGTGTTCAAATGATGCTGCGCAGCCCAAACATGACAATTTCCACTGTCGGGGAGCCATGGGTGAGGTGTGTGGCTGAGAATCAAGAGTCACTTTTCCCAGGCGTTGCCCTGAGCAGGCAGGAGATGTGCTGGGAAAGCTGCAGAGCCAAGAGCCCCACCAGGGAAGGAACGAAGGGCCAGAGATCGAGGGGACTCAGAGAGACCCCGGCGGAGGGGCTCCCGTCAGGGGAAGATGTTGGAGCCATGCCGCACCCCCAGGGAATTACAAAGCATTGTCCGTGATAAGAAATTGAAACACAGGTTACACTGGTTGTGAGCCTCCAGGAGCAAACACAGTGAGAGAAGAGGTGAATTCCCAGAGCCCCAGAGGCCCTGTCCCGGGCCCTGGATAAGTCAGACCCCCACCCGTTCCGGGTGCCACTGTTGGAGAGAAGAAGGGACCGGAAGACCGTTGAGTGGGGAGAGACGAACTCAGAGAGTGTTTGAACTCTGAAGTTCAAACTTGACAGAGCGAGAGACTATTTTAAAATGAAACGGTGTCGTACAACAAAATTTAAATTCCATTTTTACTACTGTATGGGAATGGGGGCTCCAGAACAAGAGGCGACAAGATGTACAGTTTTTAAAAAGTCAAGTTAGAATGTTTGCACGCTAAACCCCGGAAAGCAGATTTCCATTCTGCTGTGCCTGGGGTCCAAGGCATCCTAGGGTCTGTGCACAGCATCAGCCTGCAGCCCCTGAGGGAGGCCCGGGAAGCTGTCCTCTTGGAATGAGACCAAACTGCAGGGACAGAGGCACCAGAGGGTCAGCAGAAGGAAGCCAGGGATATTGGTCTTTCTTCCGCACTGGAATTGTATTTTATTTTTCTAAAGATTTATGTATTTATTTGAGAGAGAGAGAAGAGAAAGGGCAGAGGGAGAAAGAGTCCTAAGCAGACTCCACGCTGAGCATGGAGCCCCATGTGGGGCTCGATGTCATGACCCTGAGGTCACAACCTGAACCAAAACCAAGAGCTGGACGCTTAACCGACTGCACCACCCAGGCGCCCCCACGATGAAAGGTTACAGAGTGAAACCCCTCAGCAATGCAAAGGCAATTTCAACAGTGTCACCTTGGGCCGTAGGGCAGGAGCCTAGTGCTTATCTGGGGCGACAAGGCCTTGGAGGAAACGATCCCACAGTCAAGCCAGAAAGCAAGCCCGCAGCCGAGGAGCTCTGGGAAACCGAGGGCAACCATCAGCAGCTGATGAGTGTGCGTCTCCGAGCTGGAAGCTCTCCGCAGTCATACAACTGAGGCCAAAGACTGGGCAGAGCGCCTGGGGAAGACCTGGGCCCGGTGCCCAAAGGTGACCTCCTGCCCTGTGAGGCAATGCTGCTGTGGGTGGTCCACTGGGGAGGAGGGGTGGGTAGCCGGATGCTGGAATGGGGGCTGTTCCGGGGTGGACACGTCCTGGGGAAGGAAGTGAGAGTCTCACCTGGGACCCAGGCTTCCCAGTGTGAACCTGGGAGGTAATAGAGGGAGTTTTGCCCCCAGGTGTCACAGACCCACCCGGGCATGATCTTCGCATCCCTCTGCCCTGAGCACAAACCCACCTGGGCTTGGAAAGGAAAACAAAACACATTCAGTGCAGGCCAGCAGTGTGGAGGGGAAGGACTAGTAGGCCCCCCGAGGCCCTGGTAAGGATCAATTAATTTAGAATTCACTTCAGCACATTGTGCTGTCAACGGGAAGGAGATATAGCTCAAATGATGAATGGTCCCCATGAGGCTCACAGGGCTCGAAGCCACCCATGTCTCTCTCTAGGCTGGTGACAAGCAGACAGACCTCATTACAAGAAATGCACCTCATTCCCATGGGCAGACCCATGGACCTTCCCCTCCGAGGTGTTCAGAGCGTTCCCTAGGGTGTGTGAGGGGGTGTGTGTGAGAGGGGCTGCATGCAGGAGGTGTGCAGGGCCTGCCGGGCATCCAGACGGTGTGGCTGAAGTTCCTCTATTTCCCATCCTGAGATGGAACTCAAGAACCAACAGTCTGAGCCCTTACCCAGGTGCAGCCACTTTGCCCGAGGAGTCCAGTGGCCTTGGACATCGGAGCAGGGCAGACGGACTCTCCCTTACCAGGTCTTGCCAAGCGCGCAAACCAGACCCGATCCTGCGACGGGGATTGTTCTGTGTTCCGTGCCTGGCTCAGCGGCGCTGGGTGCTGTGTGCAGAATGGCTGGGGCGGCTGGAGGAAGAGTCCGGAGGGGAGGGGAGCCAGGGTGCGCGCCCAGGTGTCCGGGGGAAAGGGGCCACGGCTTTCCAAGGTTTGGAAATGGCGGCTAATACTTTTATTATATTGCCTCCAACCTCTGAACCTCATTTCTTCTCAAATGTGAAATTGTGTTTGTAGAGTTTTACAGGACACAGAATTTTACTAATATGATATCTGCTTTTGCAAATATTTCCTAACACCGACTGCCAGGAATGTTGGAGAACAGAGGCTCCTGTACCCTGGAGGAGGAGCTGATGTCCTCTGTGTGTACACCGTATCAGGGGTCAGTCACCAAATTCCGGCTGGATGACATCTGGCCCCCCGGCTGCTTTTGTAAATAAAGTTTTATTGGCACATAGCCACGCTGATTCATCACATAGCATCCATGGTTGCTTTTGTGCTACAACCCAAAAAGTTGAGTACTTGCAACACAGACCATATGGTCCACAAAGCCGAAAATATTAACTAACTGGCTCTTTAAAGAAAAAGTTTGCAGACCCCTGCTCTAAATCAAAATGAGGTGGTCTGAGAAAGAGCTGGGTAAGCTCGGTTCATGTAATAGGTGTCATGACGGTTCACTAAGCTCCCTTCCGACTACAAAACCCTGCAGCTCTCTGACTTCACATGTGATTCAAGACCACACAGCACACTCTCCTCCCGCAAAGCAAACACTGCCTGCCACCTCCCAGACCGATTTGGTTTCCGTGCTCTCTTTTCCCATAAAGCAATCCTCTCTCTCCCACGGAGACTCCCCAGTGCATTAAGCAGAGTTTGCTGCCTCTGCCTGGAATTGACCCAGGCTGACTGCTCCCTCTGGGTCTGCAGGAGCCCCTGGGAGGGCAGAGAGCTCTCTCCACAGTTTGCCAGCAGGGCGTGCCTCATTTCAGTCTTCACAGGGAGGTTCCCAGGCAAACAGGAAGAGGCCAAGGGCCACTGAGCCCTGGTTTCCCTGAGCTGGCTCCTTGATTAGTACGGTCACCTTGTCAACCTGAGCCCACCAGCAAGGGAGCAGCCATGCCTTACCTCTATCGGGCCGCAGGGCCCCAGAAGCACCCAGTTCCCAAGGATGCCCGCATCACCCACTCCTCAGGCCAGAGCTTCGAGCAACTGAGGCAGGAGTGCGTGCAGAAGGGCGTGCTGTTTGAGGATGCAGACTTCCCAGCCAACAGCTCCTCTCTCTTCTATAGTGAGAGGCCCCAGATCCCCTTCGTGTGGAAACGGCCAGGGGTGAGTGCAAGAGGAAGTGGTGGGGGTGGCAGGCAGGGGTGTGGGCTCAGCAGCCTGGCAGAAGGCAGCGAGGAGAGGAGGGGCTGGGTGGGTGGGCTACACACAGACGCATCTGCCAGGCACATCTGCCAAGTCTACTGTTGAGATGCTATGCAGTTTGCAGAGGGAATGACACGCAGGGGGCATGCACCAGCAAGCCAGGGATGGCTCCGGCACCATGCCCAGGGTGTCTGGCTCCACCCCACCCCCAGCTCTCTGACTCCCACCAAGGTGAGTCCAGGACAGGAACCCAGAGCCAGAGAGGGTCTTGTCATTAAGTGGTGAATGGGAGACAAGTCTCAGGTGACACGTTCTATGGGAACCCAAAGGCAAACATGCAGAGCTGGGTGGGAGGCAGTCTTGCCCCGTGTGCTGAGGCTGCTGGGATGCATGTGGGGATCCCGTAGCTTCTGGCTGCAGCCCAGGATGTTCAGTGTGGATGGACACTCACGCAGCGAGTGCTCAGTACACACGTGAAGGATGGAACACTCGGGAAGCAGGGCCTCTCTCCCCAGACCACAAATCTCCCTTCCCAGAGGGGAGCCAGCGTCCGAGCTGCCCCATCCCCAACAGTCTGGAGGTGACGGGCCCCAGGGGCACCAGCTGGTGCCTCCCACAAGGAGTCAATATTTGCTGTGCTGGATTAGTCAGGCCTTGACCTCCGCCCGGGCGCTGCTGGCTATCATTCCTTCCAGGTGGGGACACCTTCCAGGTGGGGCTCCTACGGGGACAGGTTGCTATGGACAAGGAGAGCGCAAAGAGGGCTGGACAAGAGGTGAGACCCTGAGTGCTGGTCCCACCCTTCCACTGATTTGTCCCGCGACTGTGGTCCTGGCACTTAATTCCCCCGAGCCTCAGTCCCCTCCCCTGTGAAACGGGAACAGAAACGGCCAGAGAAACGACCAATGTAGATCCAATGTCCAGCAACAGTCTGCAGTAAGCGGCAGCTGATGTCATGATTGCTATTACGGGTGTCACCCCAGAGCAATGCCACCTACGGCTACATGACCTCCTCTCTGGACCCCACACAAAGAGCACCCGCAGGACGTTTATCACAGGTGTTCTCAGGATCAACACCTGCGGCCGGACGGGGAGCAGGAATGAGCAGAGGGAGCCTCTGGGCTGTCCCGTGGCCCCATAAATGGCCGCACAAAGCCCTCAGCCGGTTACACGGGGTGCCCTGGAGCTAGGATGGACCGTCAGAGTCGTCTTGTGTCGGGGTGACAGTGTCACCGGTGTCTGTGGCCCTCACCAATGAGTACCCCCAAGAGCCATGACCTTGGAAAAGGTAGCTTTCTCAGCACCCCCAACAGAGGGAACGAGCGGAGCCCGCCCTCGCCCCCCGCTGCGGGGGGTCCAGGCCATGCACCACACGGAGCCTCACTTTCCTCTTCCACAAAAGGGGGTTATAAGGCTGCTTCCTTTGCGGGGCTGTTGCAGGGATTCCCGTGTTAGCGTGTAGAGCAGGCAGAAAGGAGCCTGTAGATGGGTGTCCCTGACTGTGCTTACACGACCCTGCTTGTAACCAGACTGTCCCCTCCCCGCTGGAGGAGGGCGCCCTGCCTTTCGGTCTGCACCGCCACCCACTGGCTGAACGTGTGATTCCGCCGCCGCGTTCAACTCACCTTCTCTTTGCCGAAGTTGGAGTTTCTCGGCTGCACACAGGCCAGCATGGAGAACGCCTTTGTTCCCGCACGTGGAGTGGAGCAAGGACCCCCCAGACCCCCAAGGGAGTCCAGAGTCCCAGATCTCAGCTCTAGGAGGCAGTCATCCTCACTACTGATCTCTCTCGGGGTTGCCCCAAAGGATGGGTGAGGCCGCCATCCACTCGGGGGCCCTCCACCCGTGACCAAGGGCAGAACGATCTCTCTCTCTTTTTTTCTTTTTTAAGATTTTATTTATTTATTTATTTGACAGAGAGAGACACAGCAAGAGAGGGAACACAAGCAGGGGGAGTGGGAGAGGGAGAAGCAGGCCTCCTGCCCAGCCGGGAGCCCGATGCGGGGTCCGATCCCAGGACCCTGGGATCGTGACTTGAGCCAAAGGCAGACGCTTAACGACTGAGCCACCCAGGTGCCCCAAGGGCAGAACGATTTCTTCATTTACCTTAACTCAGGTCTACTGTTGCTGTCTTTCCTATGGATTCATTCTCAGAATCCATTCTGCGTTTCCCTTTGCGTGCCCCTGACACGGTCCTTTCTGTCCTCACTCCCAGAAACACACCCGTCTGTTTGCAATCCGAGGGGCTAGGGGTTTTACAGACTTCTGATAGACTTGTGTGAAGTCAGCAGCAAGGGGCTGGGTGGTGGTGAGGATTGAGATTCCTCCTGCAGGACGGAGGGCCAGGGTCGCTGGTGTGCAGATGGGCGGGCGGCAGGAGGGAAATGCTAAGCGTTGCCAGTGTCCCTCCAGAGGGCTTTTGTGGCCTGGGTGCTGTTTGCATGTCTGCTCAGCACTTAGGTGGTGCATGTTCGGGCAGCAAGTGCCGAGCTGCCCAGTGGGACCGTGGTGCCCTCCCCAGCACCACCTTCTTGGCAAACACAGCTGTGCTCGCGGGCGGGGTCATGAGCACCAGAGCAGTCGGAATCAGAAAAGTCAGGGGGTCACCAGAGAGCAGTGGGCAGCCGGGCTCAGCCTCCAGAGAGCCCCGGGCAAGGCGCTCACCGAGGGGGAGCCCCCGGGGCCTGCAGTGGGGGTGGGGTGATAGGCTCCGCTGGGAGAGAAGGGGAAATCCCCTCCAGTGGGCCTCTTGGAAAGGGCTGTGTGTCGGAGTGGGGAGGAGTGGGTCTGGGGTGCAGCCAAGGGCCTGCCTTCCTGGGCCCGCAGCCTTGACTTCCTCAGCTCACAAGCGCTTCCTTCGGCTTTTTCCTCCTCGCCTCCCTGTCCGCCTGCATCCTTCTGTTTCTTCTATGCAATTCCCTCCCTAACTTCTCAGCCTAAACCCAGGGTACCTCTTCGCTGAAGATGCTCATAACCCTCTAGCCCAGGCTGACGGCCCCCTGGCAGCCTGTGGCTGAGACTGCCCTGCACACTGGGCCTGCCCTGTGCCTCCAGAGACACCCCCGTGTCCCCACGCGCCTTTACAGCCCTGGGTAGCACACAGCTGCCGATCCGAGCCCAGCCTCTCCAAACTTGTTACAAATGCGGCTTCTCCCCTTTCAAATTAATGACTAAGTAAAGAAAAGTCTATGTGCGTGGCTGAGCCCCTGATGATGTACGAAGTGAACAGAACAGGCCCCAAGAGGGAACATTCCAGGACGCCTGGTCCTCTGTCTGGGTTCACCTCGGGTTTGTCAAGACTCCTCTGATCTTCCTGTCCCAGGACTGTAACAGGTAACCCTCATCCTCAAGCCCCCAAACAGCATTTCACAAGAACAAATGTACCTCTGGGCCCCACACACGCAGGCTGTCCAGGCACAAATGCAATGCATCCAGAGTACACACGAACCAATATGCGTGTGAGACGGGCGCACGTCACACGCTCCCCACACCTGAGACCCACATCTGTCGGTGTTCGTGGCCACGCCCCTTCGGCGTGAACATTCACGGACCCCACATGGATTCATTGACTCCCAGGAACACTGGACAGACCCCTGTATCAGCCACGCGTCCGAGGAGTTCACCACTCCATACCCGATGGCTAACTCCTGTTCACTTGGTGAGAGTTTCTGAGTTTTCTCCTTCTGTGTTTTTCTCCATCCATCCACAGTTTGAGGCAATTTGGTAAAACTCTGCTGGACAAAAACAACTAGCTGCACGATGGAGCCGAGACGCAGTGGCAGCTGTTGGCCCAGTTGGTGCTGTTGGCAGGACGGGCCAGCCGAAGGCGGGGGAGGGGAGGGCCGCGAGGGGGAGCGGGGGGGGGGGGCCCCCTCGCCCACAGCCCATCTGGTCTCTGGGAGGTCCGCGTCTGCCACAGCCTGCTGGGCAGGGTCTGCCCGCCTTCAGAGTCGGAGATAGGGAGGGGGCCACGGCGGTGGGAGTTTTGCTGGCTGGAGCCCTGCGGCGCTCCCCCTATAGGGGCTGGCTGCCGTGGGAGCTCCTGGGGTGCCCTTGGGAGCCGGGGCTCCAATACACATTGTGCACCTGGCCCCGAATGTCCAAGACGGAGGAAAGTGGCCTCACATGACAGATGGAGACAGCCTGGAGAAGTTAGATGGTGCGCCCGGAGCCCCTCTGCGGATCGAGGAGGGCTCCTGAGGGGAGCACGTTTTCCTGGTTGGTTTGCACCTTCCCACTGGCCTGGCCCAGAGCCACCTGCAAACACCTGGGGAAGAGGAGCCGGGAGAGCGCCGTGTGAGAGGGTCTGCACGGGCCAGGAGACTGGCACAGAGGAGCTGCCCCCACCCCCGTCCATGGCCTCGCCTGCCATTCTGGAGCCAGCATTCGGTGTGTCGGTCAGACCCCCGCCACACCTGCGATTGTGGTGAGCCGATGGCACAGTGTTCAGAGGTTCTCCTGGCCCCGTTCACTGAAACACTGGGAAAGCACATAAGCCCACACAGTGCTCTCTGGGCAGATGTCCAGGGCGTCCATCACTCCGTGAGACCGGCACATCACGGGGGCTGCGGGGAGAGTGCCATCATTTTACACGTTGGCTCTTCGCCTTAAGCAGTCCCCCTTCCTGCAAAGAAATCACCATCCTCCTGCTGATACTTTGGACGCAGACCAGAGAAGTAGGGTCCCGGGGAGCTTGAGGAGGACTGTTCAGGGCAGGGCTGGGCCCCGGGGCACCACCCAGGTGCTGGTGAGGACTCTTGCCTCCAGTCCTGTCTCTGAAAAGAGGTGGGAAAAGCCCCTCACTCGGCCTGCATTCAGATCCTCTTAAAATGACCGAGCATCTGCTGTGTGTCAGAACTTTCCTCTATGTCTGATGATTTGTTGTTTCCTCGCCCTGGGCCCTCACGTGACTCCCTACTCAACTGTCTGCTTCCCCAAGAGGTCCTCCCTGACCGCTCCAGCCCCCACACAGCCCCCGTCCCACACCATTACTTTCCATCCTGGAACTCACCGCTCCTGAACTTGGATGTCCGTGCCTCTGTTCATGGTCTGGCCCCCAGTCCCTCAGCAACTCAGGAGGGCAGGGATTCCCTCTCTCTTGCTCTTTGCCTTAGTCCCTGTCAGGAATGGAGACTAACGACTCAGCAAAATGTAAAGAATAGACGAATTTTATATAATTGCTTTCAAACACTTTTCTGTTAATGCTTTATAGTATCTCTTTCTCTCTATATATGTATATATAAGTAATTATGTACACATAATAATATAATTATGTGCAATATAGCATAAAATATATGTAATGCACTGAGGTAAAGTTACATGAGAGATATGTGCATGTATCTCCCACTACATAGTGTATATATATATTGATAGGCATATATATGTGTGTATGTGTATATATATATATATATATATATATATATATATATATATACAAAATGCATACTTTAAAAAAGAAAACAGCTGGGTGGGTGAGCATGAATTTGTATTTAATCCTAGGCACTGGTCTGTGGTGTGTGTATTACCTCATCTTAAGATGAGGAATTTGAAGCCCACAGAGGGTACAATGCCCGTAAGCGGAGAGTCAGGATTCGAACTCATGCCCTGCTCCCGCCCCACCCCGATTGCTAGCCCAGGGCGAGTGGCAATGGGAATCTTCAGTTCGTGGTCCGTTGTTTGTCCAGCACTGAGGGGCTGCCCAAAAGGCAGGATCTCTCCCCAGGGGGTGCCATCTACCAGAGACAGGCCCAGGTTTGTGGCACCCCTCCACCGGAAAAGAATCAAATACAGAAAAAAGCCCTCTGCTCCCAGAAAGGGGAGAGACCCTGAGCCCGCTCCAATCACAATGGCCCAGTAACACCTTTGTTCTTCCAGGAAATAGTGAAAAACCCAGAATTCATTCTCGGAGGGGCCACCAGGACAGATATCTGCCAGGGGGAGCTTGGTAAGTGTGAGGGGATGGAGCACGGAGAGAGGGGGGTTGGAACAAGCACCCCTGGAGGCCAGCAGGGCAGGGCCTCTGAGCTGCCCCCATGGCAAGAGCAACGTGGGACCCCCGGGGGGCACAGGGTCCGGGGGAATATGACTGCTACCACCGGCTCCTTCCTCCTCTCCTCCCTCCCAGTCTGCCAGTCTGCCGCCCCCCCAGATGGAACCCCGTGGACCCCAGGCTCCTTACACTCCTGTTCCCCTGGGGGTGGCTGTGCTGCAGTGTGGGGCTCAGTTCACAGAGAACAGAGATACCCCGCGGCGCTGGTCTGGCTCCCTGCACCGTGACACAGCTAACACTTGCATGCATTAACTCGGTCCCTGGATCTCCGTCCTGATCACCCTTCCTATTTTACAGATGAGACACCGAAGCTGAGGGAGGCTGAGTAACGTAAATCACAGGACTGATAGCAAGGTAGTCAGGATCTGAACTTGCTCTTAACCATTATGCCACAGTGCACCAGGGGCTCAGACTTTGGGGGGTCCCCCCGGGAGTTTCACAGTCTCCTTCCTAAAATTAACCTGCGAGTGCCCCCAAGTCCATTAAAGTGGGTCTTGCATTTCAGGATTTAGCCCAAAATTGGAGTGAGTTTACCTTTATTCTATCTACGGGGAAAAAAAAAAAAACGTCCTAAAAAAACCCACCAGTGAAGCTGTAAGCTTATGAGGCCTGGCCTACAGCTGAGTTACCACTACGGTCTAATGGTTGCAGTGGATCGTGCTGGAGCCTCCGTGTTCACCAACCAGCTACCCCAAACCAAGAACGCAAAGTCACAGACCTAGACTGATGATAGCTGGTGATAGATCAGTAGATTGATCCATGATACAGTTGATCCTTGAACAACACGGACCCACTTATACATGGATTTTTTTGAATAACACAGTATCTTACTGTCAATGGATTTTCTCTTCCTTATGATTTCCTTACTAACATTTTCTTTTCACTGCATTCCTATTGTAGGAACATACAAAATACATGTTAACTGACTAGGTTACCGGTAAGGCCTCAGGTCAACAGCAGGCTCCTGGCTGTTAAGTTTCGGGAGAGTCAAAAGTTATACGTGGCTCTCTGACTGTGCGGTGGGTTGTGGGTGGGGGGTCAGCGCCCCTTCCCCCATGTTGCTCAAGGGTCAACTGTACACAGATGATAGAATTACACATCCTAGCTATGACTTTCACCTTTCGGAAAAAAAAATTACATCCAGACTGGTCTTCATTTGTTGGGGGTCAGCCTTCTCTGGGAGACTCTGCCTGCCCCTTCCTCATGTCCTCGCTCATCTCTCCCTGCAGACTCTTCCTCTGCCTCCCCTCACTGCCCCCCTACCCGCCCCCCGCCTTATCCCTATGCTGCTGTTCGATAAAAAGGCATTGTATAGGCTCCTTTGTGTTTCAAGGTTTTGGTTTGTGGCATGAGTGCAAGTATCTATTTGGAATTACAACTGCATATTTAACCTTGGTTGGTGTTGAATATAACTATTATTTTGTAACACTTTTAAAAAAATATTTTATTTATTTGAGAAACAGAGAGAGCAGGAGTGGGGGGGCAGAGGGAGAGGGAGAAGCAGACTCCCCACTAAGTGGGGAGCCCGACCATGACCATGTGGGGCTGGATCCCAGGACCCTGGGATCATGAACTGAGCCAAAGGCAGACGCTTAACCGACTGAACCACCCAGGCGCCCCATTTTGTAACACTTCTATTACTTCCAAATACTGTACATAACATCTGTATAAGCCAGGAAGGATAACAATAAAATGAAGGGCTGTGAGCCTGACACCCAAAATAAGAGCTAGAACACGACCAACACCATCGCCAGTCCCTCCCTGCTAGCTAGCGGCCCCCTGCATGCTCTTGTCCACCCAGCTGCCCGACGAACTGACCTTCAGAGGGTACCCTCTTCTGGTTGATATGACCAATGCCATGCATCCACACAGACCCAGCAGAGAGATAAAGCCATATTGCTTTCTTGCTGAGTCTTTTCCTTTGCTTTAAATTGCATGAATAGCACTAGCTTCTGCATGCCCCCCCTTCAAAAGCTCAGGGCCTTCCTGGCTGAATAAACAAGAGGTGCTGCGCTCTAGGGAAAGAAATGCATTTTCCTCCACTGGGCAAAGCCCTAACTTGGAGAAGAACCGGGAGGAGGTGAGCCCACAGCAGGGGGGCCCTCCACCGGACTCTGGCCAGGACCACCCCAGAGCTGAGAGCAGGGACCGCCCCCCACCCCCCGGGAGGCACTCAGTGAGGTTTGCTGAACAAATGATCATGAAAGATTCTGTGTCCCTTCTCATTAGCATCTCCATCTTAAGAGCAGCAGATGCTTGAGGAACCAGTTGGCATGTTCCCCCCGGTGACATTCTAGGGAAAGCCAGAAGCAGGGCGACTCTGCAAGTAGATTTCCTGATGCTACACCATCTGTGAGTCGCTCTAGCTTGTGCACAACAATCAGAAAGGGGTCGTGGGCTGTATGGTATTTTCCAAAAACGTGAACCCCGAGGAAGCCGAACTAAGTGTGCTTGGGGTCTTGAATTCCAATGACGGCGGTGTTATCAACTGCCAACAAAGATATCAGGGATAAAACAGAGAGGTTGGGTAAATGGATACTTGCAAGTATCTGCTCACACAGAGCTCGTAGGCAGCCCTGGCAAGAGCGCTGGTCCCAGCCTCAGGGCGGACGAGTGGATGCGTCCGAGAGGCTGGCACAGCACAGATAAAATGCTGTCTGATATCTGACTTCCCTTTGGAGTTGTCCTCCAGATGTGTGTCAATGTGAAGTCACGGCTGCAGAAATCAGTAGACCAGTCAGCAAATCTTGAAAATGAAAAATAACTGGAGCTACTCTCATCTCTAACACAACCGAGTCTGTGCTGTGGGGAGGCCTCAGTCCCAGAAATGCACTCCCCGGGCACCACGAGGGGCTATTTCTGAGGACCCCCAACTTCTTGGGCTGCAGCTACGAAATGCCTACTCACCCAGCCCCGCTGACATGAGCGTCCGCAGCCTTGGCCCTCTGGTGGGGAAGCCTCTGGAACTGCACAGAGCTGATGCATAATGGAGCATCAGTCTGAAACCCAAGTGAGCGTGTCCTATAACATGACCCGGACGACAACAGCTGTGCGTGATAAACCGGGCACGGAAAGAGCCAGGAAGGGAGGCAGAAGGGGAGGACAGAGGTATCTGTTGGTATTCTGTCCATTTTCCTAAATGCGGAAAAGATGTGGCCACATCTGGAACGCCCCACCTCTCCTTCCGGCATAGAGCTTTCCCATTCATTGCGAGTTGGCAATGAAAACCACGATGTCTGGCTCTCGTTTTGCAGGGGACTGCTGGTTATTAGCTGCCATTGCCTCCCTGACGCTGAATGACAACGCTCTGGCTAGAGTCGTCCCCCAGGACCAAAGCTTTGGACGCGGTTATGCCGGAATATTCCACTTCCAGGTAAGAGGGAGCCTGGACCGGGAGTGTTAGCTCTTTGGGGTCCAGCATGACGTCATGAGCCTCTTCAGCTGCTCGGTAATCCTGGGAGGAATGTGACCCCATCTGTGTGAAAGCTGCACCCCAAACCACGCTGCGTCACGGGATTGCCTCTAAATGTGTGAGGAGGACAGTGAGGGCATCCTGTGGTGAGCCCTTCCGGAAAATAGACAGTAAGGCTTTAAGTGCGATTGTGGCAAGTCTGGAGGTCCTTGCCAATGGGTTTTAGTCTTCAGAACAGCTTGTGCTTTTAGCATAAATGGCCTAAAACAATTCTACCTCCCTGGGACTGGATTATTTCTCATAAACTGGGAGATCCTCTTTATTGAAGAAATACAGATTTGGAGACGTGAGTGAGGGTAAGAAGTAGAAATGGACAGAAGCACGGAGGCATCGCCTGCTGGACGTCGGGGGGAGGGACACACAGTCGCCCCTGTGGGACCCCCGCAGAGCCACCCTCGGGGCACAGCCTGCCTGGGGGCTGGTTTCCCTTTGCTCACGGCCCTGTTCTCTGTCGTCTCCTCCCCTGCGTCCCCTGCAAAGGGCCCCAGCTCACACTGACGCCTGCCCTGCCCTGTACGTCTGAGGGTTACCTCGGGCAGATTTCACACGCTGTCTGGAAAAAGGACTCATATCTACCTTGTGAAGCTCGCAGAACTAAAAGGGATCCTAGGAAGGTGGCCGCATGGGGCCGGCACGCACTTCTGCCCCCGCACGGCCACCTTCCCCTCCCAGGCCACCACATGATCCCCTCCGTCCCCAAGGCCAGCCATCTGAGTACTCCCTCCAGTGCCCTGTTGTGCTCCACTGCCCTGCCTCTGATCGGGCAGGGGCTGGCCCTGTGGGGGGCCTGTCAGTCACATGCTGACATCTGGGAGGGGGGCGTTGGGAGTGAGGCCCCCTCGCTGCTCCTCTCCTGTCCTCAGCCACAGTGTGGGCATGAGGGTGCCGGTGGCGCCATCTCTGTGCTGCCCTGTAAGATCCCCTGAGCCAGCTCCGCCCTGGAAGGCCAGCCCAGAACCGCCCCCAACACCGCACCTGCTTCGGAAGCCCCGAGCAGTGCGTCTGTAGAACCTGAAGTCACAAAGGCCCCCAAGAAAGCCTGAAGTGACACGTGCTGGGAGGGTTAAGCCCCCAAGTGGGAGCCCAGCTGGGGGGGTGGTGGTGGTATTTATTGTCCCACGCCATGCTGCCTCCCAACACACCCCTTAGAGCCCGTCACTGGGAGCCCAGGGGAATATTCTCCTTCAAACACACACAACCTCGGCCGGACACTGGGCGGCCTGGTCTGACTGGGGCAGGGTCGCTGACACGGAACCGATTGGGATGCCCCGGCAAAGCTGGACATGGACTGCTCCTGGAGCCCCTGCGTGTGCTCCCCTCTTTCTACTTTCTCTTTCTTCTTCCCTTAGTGTCTCTCTCGAGCCAACTGAGTGAGAAGGAACGCACACGCAGATACACGCATGCACTCATACGCACATGCACGCGTGCACGTGAACACATACACACACGTGTGAACACACGGACACACAAGCACGTGTGTGAGCACACGCAAACACATGCACAGGCCAACTGAGTGAGAAGGAACGCACACGCAGATACACGCACGCACTCATACGCACATGCACGTGAACACATGCACACACGTGTGAACACACAGACTCACAAGCATGTGTGTGAGCACACACAAACACATGCACACACACACACATATGCACACACTCACCTCGTGTCTGCACACCCAGCACAAGTGTCCACCTGCCCCGTTACAGCCCCCCTCTCTCTGTGTGTGAATGGCCAAAAAAAAGGCAGTCTGAGAGTTTCCACCCCTGGGCAGGGAAGGCACTGAAGATGAAGGAACATTAAGACGCCCAGCAGCCGGCTGACAGAAGGGCATAGAGAACCGCGCTGTTGCAAGAGCAGAGCAAACCCCACACTATGCCCCTCCCTCGGGAGACAGAAGAGCTAACCCAGCCCCCCCGCGGTGTCCGCGTGCGACCCTGTCCCGCCGGCCCCCGGCTTTGATGGGTCCACACGGGGTCTTCAGGCAGATGTCTGTGGTGGGTGGGGTGCTCAGCCTGTGTCTCAGTGGACACAGTCCAGGGGCCCCCATCATGGAACCCGCATGTGATTTTCCTCCGTACCCTAAGGGCAGTGTGTGGTCTGAGGGAGAAAGAGCCAAGTGATAAACATTCACGGACGGGGCTGGACTCCCCTGGGACTCACGCCCCCCCGCCCCCCATGCTTTCCGTCTCCGTCCTGGCCAACAGTTCTGGCAGCACAGTGAGTGGCTGGATGTGGTCATCGATGACCGGCTGCCCACCTTCAGGGACCGCCTGATCTTCCTCCACTCCGCCGACCACAGTGAGTTCTGGAGCGCCTTGCTGGAAAAAGCCTATGCCAAGTGAGTGCTCCCTGCCCGGGGAGGAGGGGTGCTGTCCAGGAAGCAGGTCTCCACCCCTGGGGCCTTTCCAGGGACTTTCAGTGAGTGGCGACACATGTCCCTCCTGTGTCTGGCCTTCCGAAGAGCTGGGAGAGTAGGCGGAGGAAAATCTGGATGAGTTACCAGAACTTGGCTCTCCCAACCTGCCACCAAGCACCGTCATAGCTCAAACATCTGGGCTGTGGTAACAGGGACCGTTTTAATCATTTTTAAGTGTACAGCTCGGTGGCGTTAAGTACATTCACACTGTCGTGCAACCATCACCAGCATCCACCTCTAGAACTTGCAAAACTGAAACTCCGCACCTGCTAAACTCCAACTCCCCGTCCCCTGCGCCCAGCCCCTGGCAACCGCCATGTTGATTTCTGTCTCTGTGGATTTAACGAGCTGAGGAAGCTCAAAGTAAGTGGAACCCAAACATTTTTAATCGCCTGCCAGATGACCTTGGTTCCCTCCAGCACTCTCGATGTCCGGCCCGTCAGCTTGTCAGCAAAAGGCCAAGCAGCCCGAGTTCTGTGCTCAGCTGACAGCAGAGCTCCCCTAGGAGTCCCTCTTAGGCTCATCCCGGATCTTCGGAGCATAGGGAACCTGTCTTCAGAGACGGGAACTGGGAAGCACATTTGTGTTTCTAATTCTGGCAAGTGGCAAAATTAAGTGAAGGGAAATGGAGGTTTAACTGACCCTGAAATCAGCAGGACAGAATTAAAGCCATCAAAGAAGAACCAAAGGTATACTACCCGCCCCCCATGCCCATCTGCTCCAGCTAGGTCTATGCACACGCCTCCGAGGCACCAGACAGGTTTCAGGTGGGCAAAGGGGCAGAGGACAGCCAGGGAGCCCAGCCCCAGCTCTACCCCATGGTGAGTCCCCACCAGGAGACCTCAGCAGGATCCTCTCCAGGGCTAGTGCCTGTGCTCTCCAGGGCTGGGCGGGCATGGCTTCATCCTCGGTGAGCCCAGCGCAGGGAAATCCTCCCCCTGCAGCTGTGGAAAAGTCTTGAGTCAGGAATTCCAGCTGGCGGGATCCAGTGGAACTTGAAGGGTATTCACTCAAAGAGTGGAGAATAAGTTTCCTAAAAAAGAAAATCTTTAATTTTTGGTCATTCAAAGAGGCCAAAAATGATTGGGATGTACCTCACCAAAAAACATGTCCAGATGGCAAATAAGCACATGGAAAGATGCTCAACAGTATTTGTCATTAGGAAATTGCAAATGAAAACAATAGCAAAATACCACTACATACTTGCAGCACCAATTGCTGACAAAGATGTAGAGCAAGAGGAACTCTCATTCACTTGTGGTGCGAATGCAAAATAGTTCAGCCATTTCGGAAGACAATTTGGCAGTTTCTTATAAAACTAAACTTTCTTATAAAACTAGTCTTACCTAATAGTTCAGCAATCAAACGCCTTGGTAAATGAGTCCGGTAAAAAGTCATTTTTACCCAAATGAGTTGGATAAAAACTTATGTCTACACAAAAGCTGCACACAAATGTTTATTGTGCTGTTATTGATAATTGCCAAAAACTAGAAGCAAATAAGATGTCCTTCAAGATGAATGGATAAACAAACAGTGGTACATCCAGGCAATGGAACATTATTTAGTGATTTAAAAATGAGCTATCAAGCCATGAAAAGAAATGGATGAATCTTAAATGCATATTGCTAAGTGAAAGAAGCCAATCTGAAAAGACTACATGCATACTGCATGATTCCAATGATATGACATTCTGGAAAAGGCAAAACTATGGAGACAGGAAAAACATCAGTGGTTGCCAGGGGTTCAGGTGGAGGGAAGGACAGAGGTAGGGGTGAACATGTGGAGTACAAGGGGTCTTTTTTAGGGTGGTGAGACTATTCTGTATGATACTGTAATCGTGAATACGTGACACCATTCATCTATCAAACTCATAAAACTTTACAGCACAAAGAAAGAAGCTTAATACATGAAGATTTAAAAATCATAGAGAAGGATGACGAACCCCAGGATGAAATGCAGACCATGCATTTCATCTAACTGTATTGCAAATTTATGCAACAAACTCATTGCAGGGGTAGGAGAAAAAGGAGCTGACCTGAGTAACTGTGGGCATGAATGGGGTCTGTAAGATTAAAAGCAAAAGGAAGCATTCTACTCAGGCTGATTAACTTGTTTCTCATAGGGGCAAGGACAGCAATTCTGATACCATTATATGTACATAATGAGTTGAACAATTAAGGAGATGAATGGCAGGCGGTGGAGCTAGGTTTCTCACTTTTGGAGAGGAGGTTACAGAGAAGCAAGGGGAGGAGGCTTAGAATGATGCCTATGGTCATGGGTTAGGGCTGGAGACTCAGGCTGCTCTCACGTTTTGTTTAGTAGAGATGGTTCCAGATAGACACATGTATACATCTTGGGTTGGTGTACATACATCATCTCCTCACTTTGTCAGCACAGGGGGCCTAGAAAGAACGGCAGCCCCACAGGAAAAAGGACCCCTACTTCCCAGGTCTTGGTCTCTAATACTGTTTTTCCAAAGAAAGGAACCAGACAGCCTTGGAGACAAGGTTGATTCTAGGACTGGGCTGGGAAACTCACAAGATGAGCCTAGAGCATCTTGTCGTACCAAGAAGTGAGAGAACATGGTTTACACACACACACACACACACACACACACACACACACACTGGTGGGGTTACGTCAAAAGGACGCAGGAACCAGCTGAAGAGGTTGAGAGTAGCCAAAGCTGGGAGAGTTTGAGCAATAAAATAAGCAAAGTGGTATTGGATTGTAAACCAAAGTGCAAAGTAAATATCCCTGAGTCCATATTGATATAAATAAATGACTGAATAAATAAATTGGAGAAAAGAATAAATCTTCCACGTAGAAGAACTGCAAGTAATTAAAGGTGGAGCAAATCCCTCTGCTCCTGAAGGGAGGGCTGCACATAATGGTGTCCTGCCAAAGAAGACAGCGTGGACAGGGGGAGGGAGAGTAACTACAGTGGAGAAGCCTAACGGACATGACCTCACCATCGACAGCGATGGGTCATGATGACAGTATGGACCCTAGATACAATGTGATGAGAAGGACATGTTACTTCTGCGGTCTTCCTCCCCTACACCCATAACCCCAGTCTAATCAATAGAAAAACAGCAGACAGATCCCAATCGAGAGACATGCTACAAACACCCGACAGTATTCTTCAAGATGGCCAGGGTCATGGAAAACAAGGAAAGTCTGAGACACTGTCACAGCCAGGAGGGGGCTTAAGGACTCAGTGTGATGTGATATCCTGGGTGGGATCTCGGAACAGAGCATATTAGGTAAAAACTAAGGAAATAAGAAGAAAGTAGAGACTTTAATAATAATAACGTATGGGTTCAGTCCCTGCAACAAGTGTACCAAGATGTTAATCCTGGGGGAAATTGGGTGAGAGGTATACTGGAACTCTACTGTTTACAAACTTCTCTATAAATCTGAAACTGTTCTAAATGGAAACGTTTATATTATGTTAATTTCTTATATCTATATATTATATTAATTATATGATATTAATTTTATATTAATATATTAATTAATATATTATATTAATAATATATTAATTATATTAATTAAAAAGACCATTATGAGGGGGAAAAATGGTTGTGAGTATGTGAGACCAGAAAGGAAGAGAAAAATCCTCAACTTTGTCTCAGTCTATGTATAACACCTTCATGGTCAAGTCCTGGTCCCTGTTCCGTGTAAGATGAGGGAGAGGGAGGGAGGGCAGGCCGGCGAGCCTCATTTACACCTCACAGTAGTCCTGGCAGGGAGCATACACGCATCACCCCCATTTTGTAAATTTGGAAACTGAAGCACTGGGTGAGTTGTCCCCGGAGTCCTCAGTTTGTAAGTGGTGGGTCTGCCGCTTGCACCTGCGGCCAGTCGGGGACCAGAGTCCACGCTCTTTACCACCGCACCGCACTGCCTGTCTCTAAGAGAGCCCAGGATCCTTGCAGCTCCACGTAAAGCTGAATCCCTGCTTCCCTTCTTCCTTCCACACCACCCAACCCAGGGCAAGGTCAGGAGAGACAATGGTCCTTAGAAGAGTTAGAAAAACTCTGGTCAAGGGGCGCCACCTGGTGGCCTTTCTTGTTCCCTGCAGCGGTATCCCTGCCTTCCTTCCGAGACAGGCTGAATGGGAGCTATGAGGCTCTGAAGGGGGGCAGCACCATCGAGGCCATGGAAGACTTCACCGGGGGTGTAGCAGAGACCTTTGCAACTAAAGAGGCTCCAGAGAACTTCTATGAGATTCTAGAGAAGGCCTTGAAGAGGGGCTCTCTGGTGGGCTGCTCCATTGATGTAAGTCGTTCATGTGCATGTTCACATTCCTGGCACTGCCCTTGGGCTGTAGACCAGCAGGTGCCCTGGCTGGGTGAGAGGAGGGGCATAACTTTCGAGGGGGGGGGCGGCGCAGTGGTATCAATGTTTATGTATTTTCATTAAAACAGAAGTTCTAATGTTTTTCAAATTACAAAGTTGGGGCACACTTACTGTATTAGGCGGAACAATCCTCAATCTATAAAGGCAAACTTCGATGTCCCTGCCCAAGTCCCAGCCCTGGGACACCCAGTGTGTGCCCTTCACACCCCCCATCCTTACTCAGACATACGGGCATGCGCCTAAATACACAACCATAGGAGAAGTCCAGTTTGATTTTACTAAATGGAGTCCTACTCTGTAGATTTTACTAAATGGAGTCTTACTCCATACTTTTCCGAAACTTGTTTTTTTTCTACTTCCTACAGCATTAAAACATTCACATCAGTAGATAGGAATCTAACAGTATTTTCTCCAACGTCTTTATGCATGCAAACATACACACGTATAGTTTTACCTCATCCAGTTTTTAGAACCTATTCAAGTTTTGTGTTTCTTCTTGCATTAACCTTGGGAATATCTTCTTTGTTACTAAATTATCCCTTTCCTCTGTGTTTCCAAGTTTGTGACATAGGGTTGTACGTGACATAGGTTGTATGTGTCTCACATACACATAAGAAGTTAAATGCTTCTTATCTTGTCTTCGGTGTATGGGATCGTACTTCTATCTGGTGCTGGGCTACATGATGGGGGGTGGGGTCAAGTTGCTCTGTGTGGGGGCAAAAAAGTGAACTTTTCCCTGGAGTCTGAGCTGGGAATGAAGGTCTCCTCACTCTGGTAAGAGACTGGGGATAGCTGTATGTCCCTGCTAACCATCTTAGGGGTGACCTTATATGCGTCAGGCACATGGCGGAGCAGAAGGGGCCAGGCCAGGCATGGAGCTGGGTCTGGGCAGGTAGGGAAGGCTTGACTTACCTAATGGGTCCAACGCTGCTTTTTTCACATTTTAGATCAGAAATGCTGCAGAATCTGAAGCCCGGACACCTTTTGGTCTCATTAAGGGCCATGCCTACAGTGTGACAGGAATTGACCAGGTAGGCGATGTGAACCTCTGTAGATAGGGTACAGGAATAGACTCAGCAGTGCTAGTCCCTTATACTGATCTAGTGCATCACAGTATAAACCACACCTTCAGATGTTTTAGAGAAGGTCTCATCTAAAGGAGGAAGGCTGGAATCCAAAAGAGCAAAACAGGAGAGAGAGAAAGAGAAACATGTGATTCTACCACAGTACCAACCTGGTTTAGCTAGTGTAAGAGCCTAGGCTTTGTTTTTTCTTTTCTTTTCATTTTCTTCCTTAATTCTAGAGTTCTCTAGAGAAACAGAATCAATAAGATATTGATAGATGATAGATAGATAGATAGATAGATAGATAGATAGATAGATAGATGATAGATAGGGAATGAGGAATTGGCTCCCATGATTATGGAGGCTGAGAAGTCCTATGATCCACCATCTGTAAGCCATAAACCCAGGAAATCTGGTGGGGTTGCTCCAGTCCAAGTCCAAAAACCAAAAACCAAGAGAATCAATGGTATAAGTCCCAGTCTAAGAGCAGAAGAGAATCAAAGTCCCAGCTCAGCAGTCAGACACAGAGAATGAATTCTCCCTTCCTCCACCTTCTATAGTGCTAGTCAGACCTTCAGCGGATTAGATGAGGCCCACCCACATGGGGGAGGGCCCTCTGCTTTACTCAGTCTCCCAATCCAAATGCTAATCTCATCCAGAAACGCCCTCACAGACACACCCAAAATTGTGTAAAAGCAAATATCTGGACACCAGTGGCCAAGTCAAGGTGACACATAAAAATAACCATCAAAAGTCCCGTTCTCTGCAGCAGTGGCCCAGTGTAGAATTGATCCCCAGGGGTTACTAGACCCCACACAGTACCCCTCTGACTTTTAGGGAGTGCTTGGTTACAAAGGCTCTTTCCCCCTCCTTCCCTGTCCATAATGCCTTGCCACTCACTCACTTGAGTAGGCATGTGATTTTTTTTTAAAGATTATTTATTTACTTGAGAAAGAGAGTGAATGAGCGAGAGAGAACACGAGCGGGGGTTGGGGGCAGAGGGAAGGGAGAAGCAGGCTCCCTGCTGAGCAGGGAGCCCGATGCGGGGCTCAATCCTGGGACCCCAAGATCATGACCTGAGTCAAAGGCAGACGCTTAACAGAGTGAGCCACCCAGGCGCCCCAGTAGGCATCTGATTTTTAATGTTACAGCTCCCAAATATTGTTTCCAGTAATAGAAACTTCCCACCCCATCTGTTCAATGGCTTTTCCTTTCTCTCCACCTCCAAGACATTTACCTTCCCGGCACATTTCACGTAATGAACATCTTAAATGATGAGCTGCAAGCTGCATCCTAGACTCTGGAGAGGTTATACTAACTTAATTTTTACACATCAAAAATATGATTTGTGCCCAGCGCATGAGGATAAAGTGTTTTGAGCTAAAATTTCTGGTTAGTTGATGAATAGAAATTTTTTACTTCTACTCTCTTTCCTCCAAAATCTTTCTAAATGCACTGGCCCTTTCTCTTGGTCCGGGGCAGAGCATGAAGGGCATGGCTGAACATCTTTCTTTACTGGCTCAAGGGTTCTCCATACGGACAGCAGAAATCCTCACCTGACACCTGAAAGGGGGAATATTGGATTCAGAAGACTTGGAAGTGGTTTTTGTTTATCGTTTAAATTCCCAGCGTGTGCCTATATACTTTTCGTTCATCTGTCCGTAAGATGTTAAGGATGAAGAAAACTCACTCATAGGTCCTTGAGCACTTGGGCCAAACTACTCTTTACCTCTCGCTGTGCTAGATGCTGATACACTGATAAATAGGACGCGGCACCCGCCTCTAGGGCAATTCCAATCCAGCGAGAAAACTCATTCATTTGAAGATTCACGTGAACTAATTTCTTGTTATGTATAATTCTACTTTATTTCCCAGATGCAGCGTATCCATTCTCGGGTGATTAATAATCACTGTAGGTGATGCCAGCCACTGTGCTCACTAGGAATTAGAAAGTTCCAAGGGCTAGTTAAGAATTGATGAGTTTTGACATGTCTTTTGCGTGTCATAGTCAAGAGGCTTTTGGGAAAGCCAACCGTGGCTGGAGGGGAAGTACTCTGGAGCTCATGCATGAATTTATCATTCCACATTGCCCTGATGTTTTTCCCCTCCAGGTAAACATCCGAGGCCAGAAAATGGAGCTCATCAGAGTCCGGAACCCTTGGGGTCAGGCTGAGTGGAACGGGTCCTGGAGTGACAGGTCAGTCCCCGCCTCCTTGCCTTCCTGGGGCTTCTGCAGGCGTATGAGGGAGGCGCACTGTGTCTACAGTTCCCTCCTGCTGCTGGTGACCTTAACTTCCTCCCTCTTCAGCCCTCTGGCCCACCATGCAGTCAAAATTGAACACCCTTGTAACGGCTTTTTCTCACCTTTCCAGTTACTGTTACTTACGTTAGTGGATATATTCCCTCCCGTGGGGAGATGTGATCTCCCCATGATATTGTGAGAGGCTTTATCTCCAGTGATGAGTAGCTCCAATATGCAGGGTGTGTGTGTGTGTGTGTGTGTGTGTGAGCGCACATGTTGGGGGGTGGGGGTGGCCATGAGTATTTGAAGTGTGAGAGTCCCCGAAATATTGCCAAGCACGTCACTACAGGGTTCTCTCTGATTGGTCACTGGCCATTGGCTAGAGCCCCAGCGGCCCAGTAGAGAGGGGAAGCAGAACAGGAAATGCATTGCTTCCAGAGCAGTCAACCAGGGTTATTTCTTGGCCCCCAATTATATAGAATGGTCTCCCTTGCGGGTATGTGTCCCCTCCTCATCCCTCGTGAAGCGGCCCAGGTGGCTAGCATCCGGGAACGTTTAGATGTGCTTGGGCAGGGCCCACCCTGAGCCGCTTGCTCCCTCAGCCAGGACTCTGCCATCTTGGGGTCCTGCTGTCCCACCCCTGCCTGCTCACAGCTCGTGGGACTCTGGGGAGACCTCCAGCATGTCTAGAGCCTGAGTAGACGAACCTGAGCTGTGTTTGTCCTCAGACCATGAGGCCACCATGTCGCCAGCCATCAGCGTGTCTGCATCTCTGTTAACCTGACTCCAGCCCGAGGGTGCGGGGGCTTGTGGTCCCATCATGGTTCTTGTTCACCACCTTCCCCCCACTTTGGCTCTCACCTTCTCAGAGCCCGGGGTCTTTGGCAGAGATGGATTCACACCAACATCACAGGAGGGAAGAGATCGGCCTCCCTCTCCTGGCAGAAATGGAAAGAACAGAAATATTGAAATTGAAATTAATGAGCCTGCTTCATATCACACATAGACTATTAGAGTGTTCTTCCGTTAAGAGAACACAGCGCATAAAAGGGCCATTTTTTTTCTTCTCCTGGGAAACATGCAGAGGGAGAAATAAGGGAAGTGCATTTCCTAGGGTCAAGGCTGGAAGCAAGCTTTCCTCCTGCTCCCACTCAGCCTTGGGGTGACAGAGGGCAGGTCCCCATCCTGATCCCTGCTCCTGACCCCACCTGTTAGGAGCGAAGTACTGAAAACGCGTTAGCCCGGCAGGCCCGTTTTGGGGTGTGAGCCCCTCGGAAGGTCCTGGCTCTGGGTACTGCTGTTCTGACCCTGGCACGCTGGACCTGGAGAGGGGCTTCTCCTGGGTCCTTCCTGGGATGAGCTCTGCAGGGTGTGGATGAGGGGGCCATGCCAGTTGGGTACCCCGGTGGCGGTTACTCAGTGGAACCATTTGAAGGTGTAGAGACACGGTGAACTTGGAGGCTTCTTGGAGAGCTCACCTAAAGAAAATGTTTAGTATGTGAAATGTCAAGCCCAAGCAAACATAAGATACTATTATCACTTTTCGAAACGTCACTTACCAATGAAGAGGAGAGATCGGGAGATGCTCCGGGGCACACGTCAGTCCCCTTCTGACTTCCGGTTGGAAGTTTCTGCTACCTTGCTAGCGTTCAACATCCTATGATGGTCCTGTGATAAGCCCCTACAGAGGGACTTCAAATGATCCCGAGGACCTTTTACCATTGGCTGCTCTTGGACGCCTACTTTGCAACCAGCCTCTAGATCCCCTGGGGCATTCCCAGGGCCCAGGGAGTAGGCACTGACCAGGATCAATCCCCACATAGCCACCACCCAGGCACCTCGGGAGGGACGCTCACACCCCGACAAGGCAGTCTTGTTCCAGCGGCTTTGCTTACTCCTCCTAGTTCCTCCGAGTGGTGTTCCGTTGGCCCAGCCGAGCAAAAGCGCCTGTGTCACACGGCTCTCGACGACGGGGAATTCTGGTACAGTGCTCGTCTCTGTTTTCTTTTCTGTATTGACTACATAACAGGTATGAGGGCAGTGCCCTAGAGCCCTTGGCTTGCTTGCTTGCTTTCTGTCTGTCTTGTTCAATTTCTTTGGTAAATCGAATACATTGGTCTCAAGCCCCTTATGTTCACCCAGGTTGGCAAAGAATTTGGTATGAACACGGGGTTGAGCCTGGGTCTCCATACCAGCATCCCTCCTCTGAACTACCCGTCATCCAAGTTCGCATGGTGTATTTGAAGACAGACAGGCAGCCCCGCTGCTCCTGGGGGCTACTTCCTTGTCCCACTTGATGACAAGGGCCCCTGAAGGCAGCGACCTTGACAGCACCTAAAAAAATAGACCTAAGTGGGCAGGAAACATTCCTAATCTGGACTTTCTACAGGGTGGAATCTCTTTGCTTAACTGGGAGTTTTTAATGGGCCTTTGTTTCTAGAAGCTTCTTTTGATCTTGTTTCTTCCTGTGGGGTCCAGAAAACAGTTGGCTCTTCCAACCCTGCAAGACCACACATTTCTGATGTCCAGCTTTCTTCCCTGATGAGCAAACCAGTCGATTCTTGTCTGAGCTCACTTTTTTTCTTATAGGCCTTATTAAACACAGCAGGCAAAAGCCAGCACACAGCTGGCTGTTCCCCTTGAACACAGCCTCTGTCTTCCATATTTTGACAGTTTTAACAAGTATATTGCCATTTGTAATGTGGATATCTATTTCCCAGCTCTAATATTTCCATGAAACCTGCCCAAGTGCTAAGCTGATATCACATAGTTTAGAATTCTGTCACAGTGGCTCCATACTTCAAGGCACCAACGACTTAGGGTCACACCAGCTGCTGTAAGAAGTAGACTCAAAACGTATAAAGACTCAAATGCAGTAAAGTTTATTTCTCACTCATTGTAACAGTCCAGCAGGACATCCCTATTCTGTGGGTGGCTCTCCCCATGCAGTGATTCAGGGACCCAAGCCCCTTCCTCTCTGTGGTTCCACCATCCCCTGGGGTCACCCAGCCATCTGCAGGAAGCCAGCAGCAGAAGAAAGACAGGAAAGATTGGAGGAGACACCCCCACTTCCTAAGAGCCTTGACCCGCACATCACTGCTTACATCCCACTCTAGATGCCAGGGGTGGGCTGCAGTTCCTGAACCTGGGTTTTCCTTAGCTTTGCTTGTGTATTTTCTGTCTGCCCACACGTGAGTTCTCCCTGTCCTTGAGGACAGGTGCGGGCCCTTACTACTGGTTGGTTAGATGATTAAGCGAACGAATGGATCATGACATCACCATCACTTCCCATGGAGAATGGTGTCTCTCCACCTTGTTGCAGGATGGCATTTAGGGACTTCAAGGCCCACTTCGACAAAGTGGAAATCTGCAACCTCACTCCTGACGCCCTGGAGGAGAATGCTCTCCACAAGTGGGAGGTGACGGTCCATCAAGGAAGCTGGGTGCGGGGCTCCACGGCCGGGGGCTGCCGCAATTTCCTGGGTTGGTAATCTGCTTGTCACTCTCTCTGTCGTTGCCAAGTGTCCAGTGAAGTCTGGGGGACGTCAGCGGGTCAGCACCAGGACCCTAGAGAAGGCCTGAGTGTGGAGTTAGTAGGATTTCCGGGATGGCCGGTGAGGGCTGCAGAGATGTAGCAGGAAGTCAGATAAGAATTGCTCGGGGAAACTCTTGTTTGGTCACTTAGGTTATCTCCCATGACAAGTAATAGAAAGCACAAGTCATGCTAGTTTAGCAATTCAAAGAATTTTTTCCTTGCATGGCTGAAAAGTACAGAGAAGTAGGGTGGGCTTCAGGCATAGTTCCCTCAACCCACTGGTCTGGAAATCTCTGCTCTGTCCTCTTTCTTCTGTTGACTTCTTCCTCAGCCTGGGTTTCTTTATAGAAAGGAGGGCAGGAGGGCTGCCAGCACCACCCAGGACTTCCTGAGCCCTCACTTATGCACAGGGTCATCCAACGAAAGTCCCCAGCTTCACTCTAACTGGGCATTCCTTGTACCCATATTGGCTGATGAATGCTTCGGGCTGATTGGCTTTGTTCCAACTGTCCACAGCAAGATGCACTAGGATGAACCAATCAGTGTTCGCCCTTGGAACTGGAAGCGGGGTGGCTTCTGTTCACCTTGCACAACCAGAGGGGCACAGCACTCTCCTTTGAAGTATCACAAGGGAAAAATAAGATGGAGCAAATCGTAGACCCAGAAGAATGTATGGGAAATGGCTCAAGAGAAGGTGGGGTTGAAAGGGGAGCACTTGGCCTTCTCACCAGGGTTATGGGAAGTAGAGCACAAGGGTCATCAGAACCGGGAGAGAAGAAATGAATGACTTCCTCAGGTTTGGGAAGATGTGGTGGGGGTGGATGGAGTGTGTGTGTGTGTGTGTGTGTGTGTGTGCGCATTTTTTGTGTTTTTTTTAAGGAAGATTAAAGAATTCACCTCTTTCAAAGGGCAGATACCTTCTGGACCAATCCACAAATAAAATTGTCCCTGACTGAGAAAGATGAGGGGCAGGACGACTGCACTTTCCTCGTAGCCCTAATGCAGAAAGATCGAAGGAAACTCAAGAGGTTTGGAGCCGACATGCTGACCATTGGCTACGCCATTTACCAGGTGGGTAGGAACTAAGCCGCTCTTCGGAGCCCGCCACCTAAGGTGCTGGACTCTTAGCTCCTCCTTGGCCACATGCCCGAGACTCACTGGCCAGTCAGTCCCCCAACTGTGTCCAAATACCCAAGACCAACGGCTCTCCTTACAGAACCAACCCCATTATGCTCCCATCGCAGAGCCCCGGCAAAGACGAACACCTGAACAAAGACTTCTTCAGGTACAACGCTTCCCAGGCCAGAAGCAAAACGTTCATCAACCTGAGAGAAGTCTCCGACCGCTTCAAGCTGCCCCCTGGGGAATACATCCTGATTCCCAGCACTTTTGAGCCCCATCAGGAAGCTGATTTCTGCCTGAGGATCTTTTCAGAGAAGAAAGCCATCACCCAGTGAGTAACAGGCTCAAGAATTCCTCTTCATTTAGTGGCTCAGTCCCTGGGAAGTCACAGGAGATTGTTGGAGCCATGACCCCTTTCTTCCCTTCTCCACGATCCACTTGAGAAACCAGGAGGGTTTCTTAACCCATTTGCAAAGCAGGATATGTTTCCATTTTGATTCTGCTCCTTCCTTCCCTCGAACTGAAAAGTTGCTCTCTCCAACCACTCCCAGAATCATGCTCACCAGACCCTCTCGGGTGGAGCCCTTCATTTTCCAAACCCTATTCTCAAGAAACCTCTGGAGTGGGACCCACATTTAGAAGTGCTAGACTCATTTTTGAATACAGTGAAGGGGATGACTATTACAAGTTTCGTAAAAGACCCGTTCTTTCAGCTTCAGTTTAAATAAATGTCGCCAAATTGTTTGGGTTTGATCCCAGCCTATGGGTAGTGATGCCATCAGCTAGGAACGCCCGAGAGCACTCACCTGGGCCTGTACTTCCTGTGGTGAACCCCCAAAGACGTTTCCCCAACCGGAGCCAACGTTGAGGCCAGACTGACCCTTGTGGATCTTTTTATGATTGCAAGATGTATCTTGGCAACAACCCAAGGAACTTTGAAAAGACAAGGTTTATTACTTACAGGTTCTGGAGCATACATGGCACACCTGGGGCCACAGAGTGATGTCCTGAGTAGAGAGAGAGAGAGAGAGAGAGCACACAGGCCTGGGGTTCTGCCTTTATTGGGGTCAAGGGTAGGGCCCTAGGGTTTCGCAGGCGCTCCTTATTGGTGAACTTCAAACATAAAAGCAGGAATTAGTGCTTGAAGGAAAAGCAAGCAGTGGGCCAAATGGCCTACCAGAACTTTCTAAAAAAAGAGGGAACCTCATGGGTAGGGTGGCTGGGCTTTGGATCTAGCTGTGTAGCTGGCAGTGTGTTTGAGATGAACGTCTTTGAAATGGATGCCTCAACGGTCAAAAACTTAATGCCAGGCACTTACACTACAATCAAAAAAGCCAACTGTCAAGTGCTTACACTACACAAGTCTGCCTTCTATTTTATATACCCAACATTCTGCCACCTCCCCCTTTGCAGTGTCTTAGCAAAATTATTTTGTGTTAGATACTTCTATGAAAAGTTTCCCATTACTACCCTTTTGCCATCGGTTGCTCTATGGCAGAGGGAAAAAAATGGTACAAGATACTAGCATCCACTTCTTTTCCCAGTAGAGATATTCTAGATATCGCAGAAAATGGCCAAATTGGCTAATTCTGCATTTGAGCTAGATGAGTCCCCAACTAGGGACCGGCCTTAGATAACAAGATGGAGCCAGCTCTGAGTTAGTGGCCTCTGGTTTTATCTTTTGTTTAGAGGGATAAGATTGGATTGGTGGCAGGCACTGAGAATACCCCCAGTTGTCCAGTCTGGTTGGGTTTCCCAAGCTGATTACAAAAGGTATGGTTCCTTCTCCTCAGCTAAATAGAAGCAATTAAAGATCTTTCTTTAATTTTTGAAAATTCTGTTGGAGAGTTGCTCTCCAGTCTTCTCCCAGATACTGGTACAAGCTGAGGATGCATTTCCCAGGATCTGTTCACACAAAAACACCCACACGAGAGGCGTGCAGACTGCTGTGGGCAATAAGAACAAGAGAGGGGAAGCCAGGCTGTACCTGCCCCGCACCTGTGTTCCCTGACCCAGCAGTGGGGCACGGTCTGAGTCCTGGGCATTCGTAGATGGTTCGATACGGCCGAGCTAAGCCCATACTCACGCTTGCTCCCAAATGAGGTCCTTTAATCTGCTGTGATCTGGAACATAAGCACCGCCTTGGTAGCTCAGTGATTGAAGAACCGCATGAAGCTCTATTTCCATTGGCTTCGTCCTCATGAGAGGATCCTAAACAACCTCTGAAAAGCGTTCTGTTGTGCGTGCCCAGGGGATAAGGAAGAAGGGGGGAACTAGCCTAGTTCCATCTTGTTTGCTTCTTGGTATCCCCTTTGACATTTTAGCAGTTTTTCTTGGGGAGTGCTTCATGTTTACTCTGCAAGATTGGATTCTTCCAAATGTTTTAGCATCACCAAAAGCTAAGCCTGCTCCTCCTCTCAATATTACCGCTTCCCAAACACTATAGGTTCCCCTAAATATGTGAACGGGAAAATAAACATCTCCATTGTTTTTCCTCTTTTCCCCAGACATAAGCACACACACACAGCCTACCCCCAACACCCACAGTGGGAGCAGGGATTCACTTCCTCGGGGAGGGGCCAGGGGTAAAGGATGGAGCTTTTGGAGGGAATTTTAAGTTCTGACTCAACTTGCTCTATAATCTTTTCCAATTCCCCCAGAAATAATTCACCCTCAGTAGACGGAATGACGCCGTCCAAGGAACTGAATCTCCTCTGGGGATGTAGAGCTCATGGGGCATATTTAATGAATCTGCTTCACTTGTGGGTCCTCTGGGGCTCTGCTAGCCTACATAACACTTCATAAATATCCCTTGTTATGGGGCATCCAGGAAACAGGGGTGGCAGCTGGTTCAGTTTCTTTTACTTAGAAGTTTAGAACTTAACAAGTTTTCCTTGGCCAATGGCTCAATTGCCTCCCTCTTATTTTCATGCCCAGCAGGATCTGAGTAATAGGGTGGGAAGAGAGGGAGGTCAGTGCAGGGGGTCTGCGGGCCTTGTGAAAGGTAAACCTCATGGAAAAAGAAGGGCTTCAGTGGGCCAGAAACTTCCCCTACCTCTGGGCCCTTGAGTGTTGCAGATCCTAGAGAGGAAGTTAATCCACAAGTGAGCCAGCATGTTTTCTGCCCCCCAGGGACATGGACGGGGACGTGGACATCGACCTTCCGGAGGTGAGCCTTCCCAGGGTACTCTGGAGGGTGGGGTTCAGTGACTGTCCCGAAAGTTCCTTTCGATCACAGTGTCATTCAGAGCTGTGAAGTTCAGGGAATGGTTTATCTGCGATCCAGTGAGTACCTTGATTCCATCCTCGTGGGGGACACGCCTTCTACCTTCTAAGGCTCTCATGTCCCACCAGGACCAGGCATGGGAACGAGGTAGGTGCGCTGAAGAAAGCTCTGTTTGGAGCAATGTTTCTCTGTGCGATGTTTCTTCACCATGAAATTGCAAACATGATTTTGTCCAACTCGCTCTGTTCCGAGAGTTGGGTGCTGCTTCTGAAGGGGGTGGGATGTCTTTAAAATGCATTCAGACGAAGAAAAATAATCAAGAAGAAAATGAGAGTGGCTAGTAGGTTCCCTGACAGTGGACTTCCTCCCTACCATATGTGTGTTGGTAGGAGGCAGTGGGGGTGGGTTTTATACTTGTCCAAGGGCTGTAAGACTTTGAAGAGGTGCTGAGGTGTACCTGGGACAGTGTGACGCTTCCAAAGTCAGCACTGATCTGCACAAAACTAAAACACCCAAAGCATTTACTGAGCTCGTTCCATGCGCTAGGCCCAGGGCTGCCTGCTAGAGACAGACTCCAGCCTTCAAAGATCTCACCACTTGTCAAGACAGATGGTTCGGCAAGTAATTACAGCTGAGAGTGGTGAGGAGTCCAACAGAGGAGGTGCAGGGAGCCGTGGCCACCCTGGCTGGGACCCCAGCTCGGTCAGGACTCCAGCCTCCCTAGCGCTTCTATCTACAAATGTTCCCCCGATTAGTCCTTCCAGATTCTCCCACTGAAGAGCCTTCACAAGGAATCCGACTGCCATTCTTAATGCTCCAGGCAGTGGCCACTTCTGGCCCCTCCTCACCGCAATGAGGTCCCAGACTCTCCTGCAGGACCACAAGGTCTCCCGTGCGCGCCTCCTTTTCTTGCTGTTTCTTTCGGATAATCGTAAACGCCAAGTGTCTTTTCTGTGAATCCCATGTAAGTTCCTCTGGTTTCTTTTTAGCCTCCGAAGCCGACTCCAACTGGCCAGGAGACAGAGGAGGAACTGCAGTTCCGGGCCCTGTTTGAACAAGTTGCGGGTGAGGTAGGGCTGACTGCAGCCTGCCCTTGGCCTTGACCCCCTGCAGTGCTGAGGGGCCTGGTTTCCTCCACAGCCCAGGGATGCAGGAAGCTGTTTGTCAGCAGCACTTCCCAGAGGCCTGGTGGAGCTAGAGCCAAGGAGAGGCCAAGCCTGGTCATTTGGGAGGCTCCAAAGACCGCCTCCCCCAGCGCACCCCTCACGCCGGGTTGCCACCGTTGGTGGGACAAGGGCCCTCAAAGGAGCTCAGCCTGGCCCAGGGGCTTTCTGTGGAAGGCTAGAGGAAGCCTTGAAGAGGTGGCTCATTGCACTCTGTCCACAAACCGCTGCCTTTAGAATGTTCTCTCTGCTCTGGTGGAAGGTGGTATTGTTCGGGGACGTCACCATGAAATTGCAAACATGATTTTTGTCCAGTAACACCAGCGGCATGGCTAGGTTTGGCAGTTCGGGCCAGGGCCAGCCACTGGGGAAGGAGAGGATCTGTCTCTCGCCTCCTGCTCTCTGACCCCTACTCCGTTCTTGCCCCCTCGGTTGTCAGCTTGTTTGTTGGGGGCCCTGGGTATCTCTCGTCCATTCTGCTAGAAACTGCCCCACCTGTGTTCCCTCGTAGCCATAAATAAAATTAGCCTGATTGACCGTTTCATGGTGGATGCTGATGACTACATTTGGTTCCTTCCCTTGGCAGGGATCCTGAATCATAAAAGAGGTGTGACCCCCGCAGCGGGGCCGGGGCAGGGGGTGGGGTGGGGGTGTTGATGGTGGGATTTCAGGCAGTGTAAGAAAGAGCAGGGCAGGGAGACTTGGGGACTGCAGTCTGGGTGGAGAAAAATGGGGACTCGTGTGACTTACTTTGTGTAAGCCACAGCAGGCAAGGTGGCCATCTGCTCTTCCCAGGGCGGCCGGCAGCCCCGGGCAGGACGGAGCAGGGCCGGGTGGCACAGGAACGCCAAATGTCCAGCTCTGGATGCTGGCTGGAAGATGGGCCTGGGTGAACTCCTCCTCACGGCTGAGGAGGGACAGAAGTTGCCAGAAATGGAGACCCAGGTTTGGAAGGGAAGTGAGGGAATGTTGCAGGAGATTCTTTCCAACTTTACTAATGACCAAAAAGCACCTGTAGAATCAGCTCACTGGTTCCAGTCCCGCTCTTCTTTGGACTGGCCTGATGGTTCAGACGTGTGCCTCCACCTCTCTGGCCTGCTCTGTCCCAGGGGGGCTTGGGCTGCATCAGCGATTCTCCTCTAGGGCTGAGCACCCCAACCCCCGTTCCCCAGGCCTCAGAAGCTCCAGGGGTGGAACCTGGGCAGGCGCATATGGAAATAACTTCCTAGGTGACTGTTTCACACCACTAGCTCAAAACCCTGGACCAATGGAGCCCTGAGTGCGTGCTACTCAAACTGTCATGCACAAAACCCTTGCTGGAGCATCCTGAGAAAATGCCAATTTCCTCCCCAGGAGGTCTGGGGCAAGGCCTGAAACTCTACATTTCTGACAAGCTTCTAAGGGCCTTGGATGCTGAGATCTCGCAGACTTAGTGGACAGCCCGAGATCAGTGGTTCTGAAATCACCCTATAGGTTTTGAAAATAATCCATGGGACATCCTCCCAGTCTTCTGATTGAAATGGTCCCTAGAGTGAGCTCCCAGCACGGAGTGAGCCCCCAGGGTGGGCATTTTTAATACTCTCCAGGCGGTTCTGCTGTGCAGGGGCTTGGAGACCCCCACACGAAGGTCCCCCAACAGAAGCTCCATGTGGGGAGCTTTAGCTCAGAGGGTAGGGATGCTTGCCTCCCCTGGACCAGTTTTCCCATCCTTTCTGGGCTGGGCATGCAAGTCTCTGAGAAGTTAAGCAGGCTGCAGTCATGGGAATTGGGTACACGGCCCGCAGCAGGGTCCTTGAGGGCCAGGCTTGTCGCTTGAGCCAGATCAAGCTCAGAACTAGAAGCAACTAACAAAGAAGGCGCTAAGGGCCATAAAAAGCAATTGTCTATCCTTCAACAGGACATGGAGGTGACAGCAGAGGAACTGGAATATGTTTTAAATGCTGTGCTGCAAAAGAGTAAGTGCTCATCCCCCCCACCCATCGGGGACCCCAGGGCTCCTCTGGAGGGGACGTGTCACCTGTGACCTTATGCTGCCTGGCTCTCCTCCAGCTCCCCCAGGCTCCCTGCTCTCCAGGGCTGACTTTAGGTAGACTTTCAAAATAGCCTTCATTGCTTATTTCCTGATTACAAAAACGATGCCCGTTGTGGGAGAAAATGCCATAAAAATGCAAAAAAGCCTAAAGACAAAGACAAAAGCCACCAATAATCTAAGCACCCATAGATAACTGCTGTTAAGATATGTGTGTGTGTATCATGTGTCATCCGTGTGTCTCTCAGTGTGTGTATATATGTACACACACACAATTGTCATTAAATTATAGATACAATTTTGTTAGTGTAACAGCTTTGAGACATAATTCACATACTATACAATTCACCCACCATGCTTTTTAGTGTGTTTGTAACATTGTGCAACCAGCACCACAACCAGTTTTGGAACATTCCATCACTCAAAAACTATACCCAGTAGCAGTCACTGCCCACCTCCCCCAGGCCCTGAAACAACTGATCTACTTCCTGTCTCTATAGACTTCGCGATTCTGGACTTTTCATATAAAGAGAATTATGTGGGGCGCCTAGGTGGCTCGGTTGGTGAAGCACCTGCCTTCGACTCAGGTCATGATTCCGGGGTCCTGGGATTGAGCCCCGCATCGGGCTCCTTGTTCACGGGGAGCCTGCTTCTCCCTCTCCCATTCCCCCTGCTTGTGTTCCCTCTCTCACTATCTCTCTCTCGTTCTCGCTCTCAAATAAATAATTCTTTTTTTAATTAAAAAATAATAAAAATAAAAGGAATCTTGTAATAGGTGATCCTAAGTGACTTCTTTTACTTAGCATAACATCTTCAAGATTTATCCACATTGTAGTGTTTGCCAGGACTCTTCAATCCTTTTTATGGCTGGATAATATTTCATTGTAGGAGTATACCAGGTTTTGTTTCTCCATTCCTCGCGGATGGCCATGAGGGTTGTTGCCACTCTCTGGCTGTTATGAATAATGCTGCTGTGAACATTCATGAACGAGTCATCTGTGTGGACATTTCTCTTGGGTATATACCTCGGACAATTGCTGCCTGACATGGTAACTGTGTACTTCCTGTTTTAAGGAATCTTCTGACTGTTTTCCAAAGTGACTCTTTTACGAGCGGTGTACGAGTGTTCAAAGTTCTTCAATAATTTCAAATCCTGCCTTTTAAACTGACTTTTTATGAGCCTTTCCCCAGGTCATTAAATGTGCTTCAGAAACATGGTTCTTAAGGACCATGTAACAATCCATCCTTCGCACCTAAACTTTTCTGCTCCTCCCCTTCCATTGGTCATCTATGTCATTTCTAAATTTTTGCCATTATACATAACAAGATGATAAAGATGTTAACTTGTAATTCTTTGCTTGGGATCCTTAAAACTAGGGTAAGTGAATGGAAAGATCTTCCCGATGTTTATATTGTGCAGCGTTGCCTCCCCAAAGGCCATGTCAGTTTCTGCTCTCACCAGCAGCCTGAGAGTGAGCACATCTCCCCCTCACCAGCCTGGGATCTGACCACGCTCTTGGACTCCCAGCAGCTGGGAATAGGCTTATCTTATCCCACGTCCAATGAATTCTGCTTTCACGTGTGATTTCAGAAAAGGACCTCCAATTCAAGAAGCTAAGCCTGATTTCCTGTAAAAACATCATTTCTCTAATGGATGTATCCTTCCAAATCTGTGGGCAGAAAGGACTGTGTTTTCCTGTCGTGCAGACCCTCCTAGAATGTGGCACCTTTACCCGGTAGGATAGTCTTCTTCTCGGAGAACATCCAAAGACCGGGCAGCCCCTAGAACTGGAACAGAATCAAGAGGCACAGACTGTCCAGTGCGGGGGGGGATGCTTTGGAAGGGACTTTAATTAAGCCACCTCCCTAGGAGCCCTGACTCTGTGCCACCTGTCCCCCAGGCCAGCCGGTTGCCCCTCCATCCCTGAAGTCCCGCGAGGCACCTTGGGTTGAAACCCTGCTCGTCTTCCTTCCTTCCTTCCTTAACGCGCTCGGCACAGACCAGTGGCAACGGGAAGCTAGAGTTCGGGGAGTTCACAGTGTTCTGGGACAAGCTGAAGAAGTGGACAGTACGTGACCCCGCCGGGCATGGCGTCTGGGGATTGCGCCAGCCTGGAGCAGGAGGGGGTCTTCAGCGGCCAAGGGAAAGGGCCGGAGGGAAGGAATCATGATGCAATACCCCAGTTCCCTTCTCCTGCTTACAGAAGTACCCCAGGGCTTGCCCCCAGAAGGGAGAGGAAAGCAGAAGGGAGAGGAAAGCAAAAGGTGGAGGAGCCTCTCCTCCTGTCCAGGCTGTTACTGTCAAGGGTGGCGCCTTCGGGTACCCTCCCTCTGGTTCTCAATGCCTCTGTCCTCCCCATAGAACCTTTTCCTTCAGTTCGACACTGACAAGTCGGGCACCATGTCCTCCTACGAGCTGCGGAGCGCCCTGAAAGCTGCAGGTGAAGCAAAGCCTGGGAGGTCAGATGTGGGCTGCGCGTGGCCAGGGACTGTGGACGGCCCCTTGCTTCTCGTGCCCTACGAGGTGGCCGATCTTTGACCCGAGTTCATGCTTCCTGAGGGCACAGCCCTGTGAGCGCCAGAGCCAGGCCTCAGGCTCAAGACTCGCTCGCCCACACCAGGGCCCATGTTTTAAACCACTGTGCAGATATTGGCAGGAATCTGTAAAATGGATCCACTAAGGGTGAACTTAGCCTGACCCCCTCTGCCACCTCTGGCCAAGTTTTCTGGCCGAGCAGAGGTACATGTGACCCTTTGGTGGCAAGCCGCCGTGCCTCCAAACCTCTAATTGCTGCTTTCGGAGGGTGATGACCATGGACGAGGCAGGGCAGATCCCATGATTCAGGGTCAGGGAACGGAGCTCCTCTGCCACCTGCAGCCCTGTTCCCAGCTTTGTCCCCAGCAGACGGAACCCAAACCGGATGGTAGTCACGATTTATATCAGCTCTGTACACAAAGGATGGGAGCCAGGTGGTGTCCCTCGCCCTCTGGCAGTCACCACCAGGGCAGCCTGAGTCTCTGGGGCTCTGCCGTCCCGGGCTCGCAGCCATGGGTCTGCGGCCACTGCAGCCCCCAGCCCCTGCCAAGTTGCGTGGTGTTTCTCACAAAGCGTCCTTCACAGACGTGCCCCCTGGGCCCTGCCAGAGCTTAGAATCAGGTTCCCTCCCAGGTAAGCCAAACATCTGGAAACATCGTCAGCTTCATGGTCTGATAGAGACAGCATGTCCAAAATCGGGACCATCTTGGGTCCTACGTAAGGGAGGAAAAAAACCAAGGTTAGTTATAAAGTGGAAAATACCACAGAGGAGGAGGGCCTGATTTTCTTAGGGGCTGGTGACCCTGTTTCTAGGGGAGGAGGACGGAGCAGGGGGGCAGGCGTGGGGGCCAGGAGGGTGCCCCGCTCCCCCCTCCTCGCCCCATGGAGAGCAGATGCTAGGATCTGGGGTATCACCAAGACCCGACACCACTGGCTGGCTCCAGAGACCGCTCCCAGCATCTGACTGGCCCCCTCCTCTGTCTGGGATTGGGACTGAGGAGCGGGGAAGACCTGGGTAGACGTCTAAGCAGTACATTGAACGTCCCCTGGGGAGTGAACATGTAGACTGAAGTCAAGGGGGGCGAGCCCTGGGATGTAGGTTAGACATTGAAGCATTAAATGTTGGCTCTAAAGTGACTTAACCTGTCTAAAGCCCTCATCTAACCAATAAGGACAGGAACCCCAGAGAAGCAAAGCAGACCGCCCCTGGCTCAGCCTGGGTGGGTGAATGAGCCCCTGCCCCGGGGGGGTCACTCACCTGGGGCAGCAGCATCCCTTCTAGAAACACGATTTCCAGAGCCCTCAACGCCTTTGGGTTAAAGTGCTCTCCAGAAAGGGAGGTGGGGGAGAGGGCGTGGGAGTAGGGCTCAGACACCATCCGGCTTAAGTTCCCGCAAGGGAGGCTTCCTGACAAGTCTGCAAGATACAACGGGTAGGTGAATGTCAAAACCAAGAGCATGGCCTCATGGGTCCACCAGCATCCCTCCTGAAGGAGACGCACACTGTCACGCTGCCTCCACGCTGAGGACGGGGAGCCCACCTGCTGACCGGGTGTGCACTGCCTGGGTGTGCCCCAAAGGTGCGCCCCACGGGGCCCAGCCAAGACCAGCTCTGTATCTCCTCCCCGGCCCCACAGGCTTCCAGCTGAGCCATCACCTCCTGCAGCTGATCGTGCTCAGGTACGCGGACGAGGGGCTCCAGCTCGGCTTCGATGACTTCCTCAACTGCCTCGTCCGGCTGGAGAACGCGAGCCGTGAGTGGCTGGTGGGGTTGCGCCTCCCGGGCCCCGAGGGGGATCTCCGCGTCCCCTCAGTTGCCTTCCAGGAGCAGGTGACAGCCAGCCAGCCATAAATCCTGGTGACGGGAGGCTCTGTCGTGTGACCTCTGTGCCGTGTGCCTGGCTAGCTGAGGGTGGGGGTGTGGGAGTCTTCTCTGCCGGGCCGTCCTTAAGAGTCTTCTCATCCATGGCCTCTGGGTTAGGGCCACTCCTCTGGCGAAGAGTCATCCTCCGTGTGTACACCTGCAGTGTCCCTGCAGGACAGGGTTGGGGGAGGGTCCCGCCTCCCATTTGAGGGAAGTTCTGATCCAGGGTCAAATGCATCAGAGCCCGTAGAATCAGAAGAGTCTCTCTCCCTTGTCTTCTCCTTTTCCCTCTGCCCCGCTCCCTCCACCCTACCTTTGTGTTTTGTAAGCCCTAGACACGGACCTGGTTTTCCCAAACAAGATGTGTTACCCCAAGAAGAGAGAGACAAATGATGTGTAGGGATCCTTAGAGCACGCAGTTTGTGGTCACACTGCCACCAAGTTGAAGCTGAACGAAGCGCATCCAGGGCCCTGGAACCCAGCGCCAGGGTGGCCGCCATGATTGGGGTTGGGGGAGAGAAACGTGTCGGTGCCCAGCGCCCCGCACCCCTGAGGATGCCCATGCTTGGTTTCATGCTTCAGTGTCACCATCTTGAATCCTCATCATTTTTTAACAAAGGGCTCCCACATTTCCATGCTGCGCTGGGCCCCATGAAGTATGGACCTGTCCTGCTTGGCATTTTCTAAAGGATGTTTGCTAGGTGACCTCAAGGACTCGCCAAACCAAGGCAGGGTCTGTGATCCTCGGGTCTACTGTGCCAGAGGTCCCTTTGCTTCTTTTGTGACACTTAGAACACATGTGATTACCTGTCCCCAGGCTGTAATTCCCCGGGAAAACCGCCCTTAGTGGACAAGTAAGGCTTATGGGTGGGCTGATCGTGATGACTTGAGAGAGGCAAGCAGGTGCTGAAGGGCCTTGCACGCCAAGCCGGGAGGCTGGGCTTTCTCTAGGTGGTTACCACTAGCTGGTAAGAGGTGCATTTTAGAAAGGCCCCCGTGAAAGGTAGTCACTTACTAGAATTACACAGTGGTCAAAAAGGACCTAAAAAGAATGAGATGTAGTAGCTTCTCTTCTCTCAGCTGCTCTTCTCTCCCGGTCCTTTCTAAATCCCTTTAGCCCGATCCTGCCCAGCAGGGGGTCCTCAGCTTGTTCTTACAAAATCGAGGAATATTAAGGAGAAGGCACTTTGGGCTTAACACCACCCTACTCCAGGATCCTCTCCTTAGATCCACCACCTGGAGAACTTCTTAAAATACCAAGGCTAGGGCTTTACCCCAGAATTATTCAAACTTTTTATTCTCAAAATTTTTAATCATACACTTAAGTATAAGGAATAATGATCATTCCCCATGGGCCCCACACCAGGGTTCCTAAACTTTACCACACATTACAATCCCTCCGGTAGCTTTAAAAAATTTCGATGACCTGGGGTTGGGGGGTGGGCAAAACAGGGGAAGGAGATTCAAAGGAAAAAATGTTTTGTGATAACCATGCTGCACAGGAGGCCAATTAATTAGAATCAAGGGGGTGGCACGCACCATCGCTATTTATAAAAATCCCCCAGACGGTTCCAGCGCCTTACACCAGCCTCAACAATGATCATCCTGCTAATCTTTCATATGTTCTTCTAACATATACTTTTTTCGAAGTATCTGATAACAGAGCTCAGAAACTCAGTCCTTCCCTCTGTAAATATCTCTAACAGGTAGGCTTGTTTTCAGCACAGTGCTCATGCCATCTGCACCCCCAACACACTTCTCAGTGAGCCCTCAACATCATCTAAGACCTGGCCCGTGCTGAACGTGGCCAGGTCCTCTTTCCACGTTTGCTTGCTTGTCTCGGGATCTACTCACTGCACTTGGCTGTTGGGTTCTGTCTCTTTTGTTCTATGACAGTCTCCTCCCCCTTTTTGTTATATTTTTAAAGCTCCTGGGAGACTCTTAGGGGAAGCCAGACTTGACTGGCCTGGCCACTTCGATTAGAAGGGGAGGCCGAGGCCCGGTGAGGAAAGTAGCTTTCAGTGAGTTAGCTGAGACGTCCAGCTCAGCCAGCTCTCCGTCCTCCCCCTGCTCCTCCTGGGTGTGCGGGTGCCTACAGTGCTCACCTTCTCCTTAGGGACTCGTAGAGATTGAACGGCTTTCAAGACTCATGCAAAACTTCATGTACATGAGCTTTTTCTCTGGGAAGAAGGCCCGTGGATTACAAGGGGCCTGTAGCTCCCCAAAAAGTTAGCATAGGGGAGATGTTTGGGGTCCAGCATCTGGCCAGCTGACTGGCATATTGTAGAGGACAGCGCGTGCCACCCGATGCTAAGGCCACCAGCTCTGCCATCCCAGGAATTCAAGAGCCTCCACTGTGTGACAGAAACCCCCGTGGAGTCGGCCTGAGTCTGGCCTGCCATTCTAGAAGATCCTTGCTTACCGCCAGATGGAGCAGCTCCTCCACGGGCTGCCCTGCAGGCCCCAAGGTCACTAGGAAAGAAAGAAACCTGTTGAAGGAACTGTCCCCACAATGATGCCTTTCTCATGTCTCTCCTATTAGGGGTGTTCCAGGCTCTCAGCACAAAGAACAAGGACGAGGAGTTCATTCATCTCAACATAAACGAGGTATGATGCAGCCAGGGCGAGGCAGAGTACCCGCTCTATAAATGTTTGCTGAATGCCTGTGAAGGTCACACTCAGCCATGGGCGTAATAACAACAATGAAACTGCTAACATTTTTTAGGTACTAGTCAGTTAGCAGCCAATGCAATCGTTACAATAGTCCTGTGAGCGAAGGATTAACAGAACCCCCATTTGGCAGAAGTGGAAACGGAGGCATAAAATGATTAACTATTCAACTCTGGCTGCACAGTAGGATCACCTGGGGAGATTTTAAAATCCCAATGGCCTGGCCATGACCCAAACCAATCAGGTCCAAATCTCTCGGGGTGGGGCCCAAGCATTGATATTTTTAGAATTCCCCCATGAGTCCAGTATGCAGCCAAGTTCAGGAGCCCCCTCCCATCCACCTAGGTAACAATTGGATCCTTGCCTCACCTACAATTACTCTGCTAGAAGAGCCTGTGCGTCTTCCTTCACCCAGCTGCCTTCCCTGACCCTGACCTTGGCATACGCTGTGTCCAGGAAGTGGGGCAGAGGAGAGAGAAGAAACCATCCCACATAATTGTGTTTCCCCGTGACCATGCTGTGATAAGAAAGCAGGGAGCAAGGGGAGAAGGGGCAGGAGGCCCTCAGGCTAGAGAAGGAACTGCATGCAACTTCTCCACCAGTTCACTTGTAAAGAGCCCCGGACCCCTCATCAAAGAGGCACTTCATACTGCCTGCCCTGCCTGAGGTGCCTCGGGAAGCCTCTCTTCTTTGCCAGGGAGAAAGTACATTTCTCTCTCTCTCTCTCTCGCCATCTGCACTTGAACTAACTCAGAAAGATCTCAGGATCTCTGGAAAACTGAAAGTGCTGGGAATTCATTTTTTCAAAAATATTTCATGTTGAAGCAGAAGTCCATATTCGCAGGCAAGACGATTGGATGGCAGAACCGCTGTGACACAAACCAACCAGGGCTGGTAGGGGAGTAGAGGGATAACCAATTCTTCACTTTCTCTCTCTTTTTGTTCCCAGTTCATAAACTTGACAATGAACATCTGAGGCTTCCCCAGCAAAGATGCAGTCTGTCCGGCAGAGTCTTGACTTTTGGACCGTGAACTTCAGAACGTTTCTTGGTGTAGAGCTCTCCTCGCATTATCCAACCTTCTCCTCCCCCTGCCCCACCATCCTGATCTTGGAAGAATGAAATGGATTCAGCTATGATCTCTGATTTTATGCTACTTCTTTGTACAATCCCTGCCCTAAGAAAGGCTGAGGTTACCACCTGTGCCTTACGCTCAGGTTCAGGCATTGTTAGCAATTTCTCCCCCCACCTTCCCCACCTCTTCCCAGTACTAATTATCCAAAGTGTAACTCAGTGCACAGAGCCCTGGCTTCAGTGGAGTGTCAATCATTACACTCGAACATCCTATACAGGACAATGTTTTTATAAATGTGTTGGGGCCTGAGATGAGAACAGAAAGTTGTGATGTCATAAATAAGTATTGTCTTCATCCTAGGTGTGTTTCCTTATTGTGGGACAAACCTTGGGGGAATTCCGGATGCTTACTTGTAAGAGTGGAACAACAGGAAAATCCCTATTTCCTCCTCCAAGAGGTGGTAACTAAGATAGTCTCTGTCCAGGCCAGACATCCTTTGTGTCTAAAGTTTTGGGTCAGAAAAGCCAGGTGCAGTGCTTTTCTTCTCAGTAGCCCGGATTCAGGTCAGACTGGATTGCATTCATTTCTACCATGATGGGGAAGAACAGAGTGGAGAAGCCTTGTTTTAGTTCCCTGACACTGAATAGGAAAATCCCACCAAATTGGAATAATGGGAAATAACGTGATATTGCCTCAGTAAATGTTAGGTCTCATTTTCTTATTTATATACTTGTGGCAGGTGAGGTGGAATGGAGGGGTGTGCAGAGAGAGAAGGGTGGGGACAATGGTTGGGATGAAGATCTAGTTAGAAGTGAAACTTCATCAGATTCCTGTCTCCTGGCTAAAGATGCCAGGGCAACATGATCTCGTCTCAATTCCCAACCCTTCCCTGATCTCACCCAGCAATAGGAGCATGATGCAATAACAATGTTTTTTAGTTTCTGTACTTGATATTTGACATCTTGAGGCTTTGCTAACCCTGGAGGGATTGCCCTTCCCAAGGCTAGTCAATTCCCAGAAGTAGCAAACAGCTTGCCTGCAAGTGTGCCTTTCGTATACAAGCCAACCAACCCAGAGCCCACACCCCAACCACCTCCTCTACGGGACTTTGACACTCCAGGCCACTATGCACCTACCCTAATCACCACAGGGCCAGGTTTGAGACAACTGGGGACACTTCTAAGCCCTAGAGCCTGCTGAAATTATTGAAACTAGCCAATCCTCAGACTGCTGACCCTGCCTCACCCATTCCTTCCCATGGAAACCACAATAAAGACTCTTGCCCACATTTTCCCTTTTTCCCTCTGCTTCCTGATCAACCCTGGTGCCTCTCTGTATGGCCCTGCATGACATGGCATGCCCCCTCCTTTTGGTATTGGTGAATATAACAAGTTACCTTTTCAGTAGCAATTGTCTCCTGATCTTTTGGCCTCACCAGATAATAACTTGAATTTACAAGAAATGAACAGCACTACAAATGGTATCTGTGGGTTAATACAAAAGTCTTTAAATGTTTTTTTCTCTTTTCTTCTAATTTTGTTAAAAGACATAAGGTTATATAAAGCAATAATTATAACACTCTATTCTTCAGTTTGTAACATATGTAGAGATATATAATAATAATAGCACAAAGGAAAGGAAAGAAATTGAGATATATTGAAGCAATATTGCTATGTTTTACTGAAATTAAGCAAGTATTAACCTGAAGTAGATGGTATAAGTTAATTTGCATATTGTAATCTGTAAAGCCACCTCTAAGAAAATAATAAAAATGCAGTAAAGCAACAGAGGAATTCAAATGGTATACCTAGAAAGAATTGTTAGCACAAAAGCAGTAAAGGGGGAACACATTTTCAAAATGAGACACAGAAAACGAAATGGCAGACCTAAATCCAACCACATCAATAATTATATTAAGTGTAAATGGATAAACACTATAATCAAAAGGCAGTGATTATCAGAATGGATTTAAAAACAAGATTCAATGGCTACCGTCTACATGAGACACACTTCGCACAAAAAGACAAAAATAGGTTGGAAATAAAATGATAAAAAGGGTATACCATGCCAATGGTAGCAATAAGTGAGCCAGAGTGGCTATATTACTATCAAACAAATTTAACTTCCAGATAAAAAATATTATTAAAGACAAGGAGGGTCATTGCATATGATAAAGGGTAAATACATTAGGAAGATAGAACAATTATAAATGTAATACTACCTAATAGTAGAGCCTCAAAATACATGAAGCAAAAATGCATAGATTGAAAGAAGAAATAAACAGTTTAACAATTAGTTCAATACCCCACTTTAGTAATTGATAGAGCAGCTAAACAGAAAATCAGCAAAGATGCAGACGACTTGAACGACACCTGTCAAAATAATAGACATTTTTAGAGCACTCTACTTTAAAATAAATACACAGTTTTTTCAAAAGCAGATGGAATGTTCTCCAGGTTATATCATATACTAGCCATAAAACAAATTTCAATATATTTAAAAGGATTTACATCAGAGTATGTTCTCCAGCCACAAAGGAATTCAATTAGAAATCACAACTAGAAAGACATTTGGGAAATCTCAGCTTTTATAAATTAAACACATTTAGAAGTAATCCATGAGTCAAAGAAAAATCACAATGGGGAAATCAGAAATATTTTAAGCTGAATTAAACAAGGATACAACATGTCAAAATGAATGGGATAGGACTAAATGAGGACTTGGGAAAGCAGAAACTTCTCACATCAATAATTTAAGCTTCCGTCTTAAAAAAAACATGAGAGACCAAAAAAAAAAAAGAGAGAAAAAGAGGTAAATTAAATCCAAAGAAAGCAATAAGAAAGAAATAAAGATCAGAGCAAAAATTAATGAACTATAAAACTGAAGAATAGAGAAACTCAAGGAAATAGAAAGTCAGTTCTTAGAAAAGATCAACCATAAAAAGAAAAGGATCAACAATATTGATATACTTTTAGCTAAACCGACCGAGAGAAAATGATTTGTTTCCAGAATATATAAGGAACTACAACTCAACAGGAAAACAAACAACCTGATCTTCTAAATGAGCAAAGATTTCAATAGACATTTCTCCAAAGAAGATATGCAAATGGAAATAAGCTCATGAAAAGATGCTCAATATGATCAGCCATTAGTGAAATGCACACATTCACACCACAATGAGATACCACACAGACCCACTGTAATGGTTAGAATGAACAAGACTGAAAATACCAAGTGTTGGCAGAAATATGCAGAAACTGCACCCCTCATCCATTGCTGGTGGGAATGTAAAATGTACCGTTCCTTTGGAAAAACAGTTGGGGTTCCTTTAAAAGTTAAACATATACTTACCACATAAATTAGCAAATCCACTCTTAGGTACCTAGCTAAGAAAAATGAAAAGATAGGTTGCATACACAAAGACTTGTAGGTGACTATGAATAGCAGCTTTATTTATAAAGCCAAGACAATGAAAACAATCCATAGCTGGAGAGCAGATTAACAAAATTCCTTACAATGGAATTATTGTAAATATTGTAAAATAAGCTGCTGATATATGCTTCTTCTACTTTCCATTTGCATAAACCTTTTTTAAAAGGCAAATCCATAGAGACAAAAAACAGATCTGTGGTTGTCTGGAGCTGGAAATGGAAGTGGGGATTAACTGAGCCAGCACGACAACTGCGTGGGGTGATGGAGATATTCTGAACCTGGATCATGGTGATGGTTCCAAAGCCCTACGCATTTACTAAGGAGCATTTGTTTGTACACTTACAATGGGTGTGTTTTGTGGTATTTAAATTATACCTTGATAAACCCTTTAATAAAAAGTACATGATCTGTGAGATATGAGACAAAGACAAGCAGATAAGAGACATGAGAGTGTAAGCAGATAAACAATATTGAATTAATTACTGCCTACCTTAGTGACTGCTTTCTGTTAAAGTAGTCAAAATGATCATCCATGTTAGTGTTTTTTTCTTAGTTTCAAGAATGATTAGGTTAAGCCTCCGACCCTTGATTTCAGGTGAAGTTCGTGGGATCAAGCCCCACGTCAGGCTCAGCACTCAGTGTGGGGTCTGCTTGAGATTCTCTCTCTCTCTCTCCCTCTGCCCCTCCCACTCGTGCTCTCTCTCTAAAATAAATAAATAAATCTTTAAAAAATTAATCAGTCATACTTTATAAACAGCTCATTTAATACTCAGTCTTACAAGTTTGGTTTTCTCATCCCCATAAAACAGACTTCTAAACTACACAGACTGAGACTCAGAGGGGCTCATGAAGCAGCCGAGAGTCTTTTGAACGCAATGCTGCTTCCTGTTGGAGCAGAATTTGGATGAAGATGTTCAAGCCTCTATAGGAGGAGGTGGCGTCCTCCCCCATCTTGAGATTCTATGATGCTATCAAGTAACCTGAAAATTATTCTCACAACAGTATAAGTGACGAATGATACTTAAAAAGAAAATTTTGGGGCGCCTGGGTGGCTCAGTCGTTAAGTGTCTGCCTTCAGCTCAGGTGATGATCCCAGGGTCCCGGGGTCGAGCCCTGCATCCGGTTCCCTGCTCCACGGGAAGCCTGCTTCTCCCTCTCCCACTCCCCCTGCTTGTGTTCCCTCTCTCGCTGTGTCTCTCTGTCAAATAAATAAAATCTTTAAAAAAAAGAAAAAGAAAATGTCCTCTCTTACTGACATTTTGAAGCACGATGAAAGCTTTAAGCCTAAGGAGTGATGTTCCTCGGTGGGATTTCAGCTTGAGAGGAGGATACTTACCATTTTTGCGGGGTGGACTCCCCCCGCTGCGAGAAGCTGCCTGCTCACCTCCACCAGCTTCGCACACAGAGGGTGGCTGTGCATTCACGGAGTACCTTAACTTTCTTGTGACCTAACTCTGCAGGCTGCAAACT